CAAAAAATCAGTCATGTTGCTCCTTTCAGAATATTTTCAGTGGTAAACACTTCTCTTCATTCCCTACCATGACATTGTGTACTAGTAGATATTGTGAAGAATTATTATTTTTTGGGCTATACTTTCAAATTCTCCAACCAGAAAATAGCAGCAGGATTATAGGTGATAATTATTTTAAATATATTCCCTCCTAATTAGCACACTCAGATACCATGAGGTCAGAGACTTTTTCTCAAAGTAGTCCAAGTATAAAGAGCCCCAAGAGAGCTCTGCAGTCCTGAGCATGATGAAGAAAAATGGGCAAAAGACAGGTAACACAACCTCATTTTAGAATATAAAATTATAGGAATAATGAAGTTCATTAATTCCTGGTGAGGTTAGTAAAATGCTACAGAATTAAAGAAGTCCTGGACTTTCTATTCTCTAAAACCCAAATAGTTTATTTGTGTTTCTCCCCAGCTGTTTGGTAAATCATCTTTTGAGTTCTTAAATTGCACCATCTGTTCTCAAATTCCTCAAAGGTGCTCACTTTGTAGTACTTTAATTGAAGAGTTCTCACATAGAAAATGAATTCCTTTGGCCCAATCAGCACTTTTATTGAGCACCTGCTGTGAATAAGGCACAGTGCTGGGCATTCTAGGGATACACAGAAACATAAAGCAGTCCTTGCGCTCAAGAAGTTTACAAGTTTACACTTAAACCTGATCCACCCTGAGGAAAGTCATTTCTGAAAGCTATTTTAAATCTTCTTTCAGCTCCCCTGCAAACTACACCTAAACGACGCCTCAGGCCCAAACCACCAAGAACCAAGCCTGGTAAACAAATGTCTCTTTAAACTTTCAGGATATTTAATTCCAAAACGATAATATCCATCTCCTTGCCATAAAAATAAGTGACATGATTCTGCAGGTTAAAGTTTCTTTACAAAATCTGAAGGTAACTGAAGATGAATAATTCATGATAATGAATAACAAGAGTCAATAATTTCTGATAAACTTTTATTAAAAATTATGTAAGTGATGTTCTTGCATGTGAATTTTGGTATAAACCTAGACACAAGACTTGCTATCACATGGTAGAGTGAGATATATAGTATAATTCTTTTTCTTGGTATGCCATCCCTATTCAAGTATTTATAAGGTGACAGTTCTTGGTTTTGGGTGCCTACTATGCTTTCAGTTTTTCCCCAGGGCAATGGCTGGGATGGAAAGGACATGACCCCAGTTTTCCAATGGCTTATGATCTTATGAAGATAATATGTCATAAGCAATGAGAGAACAACATAAGATCATATAATCTACTTGTGAGACTAATACTCGTGTAGAAGGTCAGAAAAAGAAAGTAAGAGTTGAGGATGCAAGCCTCACAATCTGCGTAGGATTTGGGCAAAGGAAAAAGCAGTGGGGAACAGCATTATCTTCAGGCACAGCGTTTGGGTGGTAGAGGCAGCTTATCGGCCCGGAGGTGATTTTCCTCATTGTCAGATAACACACTCAGAATCATACTCAACAACTGGGTTTTGCTTAGTCCTTTGTCCTATAAGTACAGTGGTTTATTATAGTCTATATCGTTTTGATTGAGTTTGAAAATTCTTTTCCAAAATGTTTACTCACTGCATACTTTATAAACACTGACTACTAGCTGTGGCAGGATTTTAACACGTCATTCAGTTCCTCTTTGGAGGACGTCTTTTTATTGGCTCTAGGATATCATAATATCTCTTTCCTTTCCATCACCAGAAAGAACCAAAAGTCCTGGAACAACTACTTCTAAACTTTCTATGAGCCCTGAACCTACATGGACCACACTGGGTAATGATCTGTCCTTAGTGGGTGTGTTACTTCTTGTCACCATGGGAAATCCAGGGCCCCAGCTTTCATGTAATGTCTGTCAGTATTCTAATGGGCTCGTTGCAGCAGTACCGAGTATCTCATGTAGCACATCGACTATGGCTTTCATGGTTTCGGATAGCTGGCCCTATAGTAAGTGGATCTGAATGCAACCTTGTACATCACCCTATGCCTTGGAAAGCTATAAAACCACTGCTTCTTTCTCATCTTCTATCCAATCATTGTATCTGAAGTTGGGTCTTACACACAGTTGTTGTTGTTGTTTTTTTCATAAAGCCCTTAATGTCAACTTTAGACTGCATTTAGAAAAATGACTATTATGGTCTTAGTAGAATTTCTTTATGCTGCAGATCATAGCATATCTATCAGTAAATATTAATTTTAAAATATATCTTTTTCTGGTGCTTAAAGACTTAGATGTAACTGAGGAATATGAAATAGGAGCACAAAATGATTACACTGATTTTTTTAAAGCATGGATTAAAATCACACTGTCTTTGTGTAGTTATTATGACTACTTAGTAGCAACGCTATTTCTTTAGGTCAAATATACTCTATAAATGTTTTTTCAAACCAGATGAAAACTTATCACTGTATTTCCATTAAATGCTGCTCTTGAAATACTCTTTTAATGGACTATTTCCAAAATCTTCCAAGATGATGGGCTCATTCCACTTAAAGTATAGGTTTTCCTTTGTAGTTTTAGACACTAAAATGTCTAAAAATGGATTTGTTTGTTGATTCTTTTTGTTTCTTTATTTTTCCAGCTCCCAGTAAAACACAATTTATTTCTTTGAAACCTAAAATCCCTCTGACCCCAGAAGTGACACACGTCAAACCTGGTAATTACCCTGATTTTTTTTTTTTTAATATTCCAAGAGTAGGATTGAAAAGTTGTTTTATGCCACTCTTTGGAGCAAGAACTTCTGATTTGTATTTTGGTGTTTGACACATTTTGCCATGAAAAATGCAAAAAAATGCAATGACATGCTCTCATTATAACCAGCCCCTCTGATGTTATCACAGCGCTGCTCTAAGCTATGTGGAGGAGCATTATGTTCATGACCTTCACAGAGAAAACACAGACATAGAATGATGTACATGATTGAGGACTCCCTTGTCTAGGACTATGAAATAGTTTCCAGTACCAACGTTGACTGGAACTCTTATGACACTGAACAATCGCCTTTCAGCTGGAAAGGAAGAGTGTTTTCATCCCCTAAGAACTCTGCTTTGTTTGAAGCTTCTTAGTTTTCAGGCTAAAAAGTGTGTGTCTCCCTGATGCTCCATGACTTCTTTCTCTCCTGGGCTGATTTCTGAACACTGACTTCTGTTTACTTTTCAGGAGATATTAAGAGTGTTTTCCTGAAGAAAAGGATGTTTTGCTCTTTTACAGGGAGAGGTTATCTGTAAAATTTAAGACAAAGATAATTCCCTGCATAAGGATTGTGGGACATATTAAAGGACCAAATCTTCATCACTTTCTATCCAGAATATATACAATAGTTTACATGGTGACTTACATGATTGATATGTATGGATCTCTGTCACTACTCATCATTTTCATCTAAATTTTAAATCCTTAGCTCTGGGAAGAATATATTTCTCACTGTGATGTTCAATGGATTTTTCATTAATTTACGTTTACAAAGCATAGTTATTAAAGCAAGTGATTTTCTGCTTTAGTGAGCAAGCTTTATTTTTTGCAATGAAATGCATAAGGAAGAAAAAGTAACTGCTCAGAAAAAGAATTCTAATGATCCCCTTTAAAGAGGCAGTGTAGGTCTCAGACTGAAGAAAATTAGGGGTTAAGGGAGTACAACCATGGGTGAGGTCTCCAAGTCAGGACATGGAATGATGCATTCTTACTCAGGGAGGCTATTTGCAGAAAGAGGCATAGCTCATGATACTCAAGAGCTCTACAAGTTTAAAATAAAAAAACACAGACAGCTATATGCGAGAAAGGTTTCATCTACATTTATTTTTAAATATGCTTGGAGGACTTTAGATTACAATAGTAACTATTACATTTATGTTAGCTTTGCATAGAAGACTATTACCAAGCAGACTGTACGAGAAACATTACTGTATGTTTGGGTCGCCAAATTTAAATGAATATTTCTCCAATCTAATTATTTCTGTTATTACAAATTAAAATTTGAAAACATAAAAAATGCCTCCAAATGTTAATTGTAATTTACACAAGATAATTTACATTATTAACTTCAGTGGTTTCTAAAAAGTTTTCTGACAGGCAGTACATTAATACAAATAAGAATTGGAGGGTGTGTTCTTATTATTCTAAGGTATTTGAGCAGAGACTTCTTAATTTGACATTTCCTTTTAAAGTGTAGAAAATTATTTGGAAGCTTAATGAGTTTATGTTCCTTTCATTTCTACCTCCTAATCACTTAAGAATAGCCACATTTTCCCCCTAACAGCAAGAATAGCCACTTCAGAATCCGCACCAAAATGTATGCCAACTCAAGTTGACATTGAGGCAACACACAACACAGAGTAATGACTGAATGTCTGAAAACTGTTGCTTGTGTTTTAGCTTTTTAAAAGAATTTATTTATTTTTACTTTAGGGCAGGCCACCGTTATAGCTCTGCTGAAAATTTCTGTTTCTAGCCAAGGTTCAGGAGAGCAAATAAACCACCAAAAGCTGTTTGATTTGAGTGATTCATTGCCTTCCCCAGCCCTCACCTCACTCTCTTTTTTTCCATTTCACTTTCCATGCAGGCTGCTTTTCCTTTGGTTTTCCCTGGTGGTTAAACTAACAAGTAAAAACCACCATTGGTTTTGGCTTGTTTCATAAGCAGAATCCAGTGCTTTCTTGAAAATCCCAGCCATCTACTCTGTCTCTTCTTGTCTACCTCATCCAATAAGAATTGTTTCTTTCACAGTTAATCTTTGACATTCCACTCTTCAACTTTTAACACTAAAAAATGGGAGAGTGCTCCAATTAATTACAGGTGTGGTGGATGGAATTGTACATTGTTCTCTTTGCTAGCCACAAATCCATGAGCAAGTTGTGTGTTTCTTTGTGTTGTGTTGATGTGAGTGGTGTAGTTATTTGCATGCCACTCAGTTTTTTTATGGAACATTTCTATATCTTTATCTACAACACCTAAATAGTGTCAATAGAGGAACTCATCAAAACATGTATTTGTTTTTTAATAAACACTGACTTTTTTAATATGGAGGTGAATTGGAAGTTTAATTGATAGGAATACATACCTATGTGGTCTGCGCCTGTCAAGAGTTAAAAAAATGCAGATTTTTCTTTACAAATTTAAATGACAGTGTTCTTTAATCTTTGTAAAGTCTTAAAAATGCTGTGAGCAGCAAATTTTACTTACATTTTCACTCTTTTAGAAGGTACCTGTGTAGAAATTAAAACATGAATTACAACCTTGAAGTTTCAGAAGAATTTTTGTTGCTTGCTATTTTCAGATGTGGATCCTTTAAAAATATTTATTATATTTAATGTATTGGTGCTTACTGTTTTTTTTCCTTTTCTCCTGTAGAATCTGAAACATTGAGGCTCCTCTCTCTCTCTCTCTCTCTCTCTCTCTCTCTCTCTCTCTCTCAATTTGAATGACATTGAGGATTTGTTATCTGATAGAATATTTAAATGATACTGTTATTCAATTTTTTCAGCATTTCAATGAAATCTGAGACTGCCTTTTGACTTCTACTGATTTACTAACCAAAATGGACTAAATTTTATAAGTGAATCAATTTTTTCACCAGCAATAATGCTAATAAACATGGAGAACATCATATGAGCATTTTGGTTTCTTTTTAGACCATAAGTTTGATTTTTTTTTAATAAAATAATGTCAGATCCAGCCAAGCTGAAAATCATCCAAAAGAAACAGAATTCAGACACAGGTACAGGTCTAATGAGTCTGATCCTTCTTCCTTGGACCAACCTGACTGTCCTGCATGGGAGCAACATGGCCGGTGGACAACAGCTCCATGCCACCTTTCAGAGCTGCCTGACCTCCCTTTAGTGGAGTATCTCCTCAAGCACTAGAAACAGTTTTCAGAATATTGTGTAGTAAATACAATAGCTAAAAATCTACCAAAAAATATAGAAATCTCAATTCTTTTATTGTGGTTTGCGGAGAGGATGTGGGTGTTGAGCTTTCCGGTTGTTAAGCCAGGAGAACCTGATTGCTCATCGATGAGAGAACACTTTTTCTACTAAAGGACATTTAGTTTCTGTCTTAGATGGTGCTCTTCAGCATTGCCTTTGATAATACTTGCTTTTATTGCAGCCCCAGAACCTCTGACTCCAACACCATCACAGTCAACAATAGGTAATGAAGTTTTCGTTAGTTGGTGAAAAAGAATTATCTCTCTTTTTTACAACCTCTATCTTCAACTTTGTCCTTAATTCTGGCTTTTTAAAAATTTATTTTGCCATGGCTGGTGTGGCTCTGTTGGTTGGGCATCATCCCATGAACCAAGAGGTAAAGAGATCGCTGGTTCAATTACCGGCCCGAATTGTAGGCTTGATCCTTGCTAAGGGGACAGGCAGCCTCACATCAATGTCTCTCTCTCTCTCTCTCTCTCTCTCTCTCTCTCTTTCCCTCTCCCTCTCCCTCTCCCTTCCTTCTCTCTAAAAATGAATAAAAATATCTTTAAAAAAGAGATTTAAAAAATAAAGAAATTATTTCTTCATCATCCTTTAGCTCTTTCTTTCAGCCGTTTTTGTCAGAAGATAACTCTCTGCCTGTGCTCAAAGTGGAGGTTCTGAGGCAGCATGAAAGCCACACTGACTTTGATTTGACACATTCTTTTCATTTTCATTTGACATGCTTTATTGTCCTTCCTTATATTTGAGGAATGTGCCCGGAGCTGCTTTTAACCTGGTGAGGACCATGGCTTTCCTAGGACATGTTTTGCTTTCACATTTGGAGGTGTTTTTCTTCCTTTTCGAAACTCCAACATTTGCAGATTTTCTTGAAAGACATTATGGTCTTTCCAGATCTAAATATCCTGATATGTCACTAGGAAATTCATTAAAAGAGAGAAATAGAAACACTAACCCTAATGTTATAGCTTCTTTTTCTTCAGGAGAGCAAAATACTGTGTTCTGCTGGTGCCATCTTAGCCAATTACCCATATTTTCCTTCATAACACGAACTGTTGGTTACTTTATTGCATTCACATATTCCAAATAAGAATCGTACCTTTTTCTTTCCAGTTCTCTTTCCAAACTTAACTCAATGGCTATATTTTTGTTCATTTTGTCTAAAAGCACAGGGATCAATTTAAATAAAAAAGGGAATTTTTATGTGGCTAAATTTTTCATTATTTATATTTGTTCAACTTAGTAATTAAAAATTAAACATTTTTCATATTTATTTCATATTAATATTTCATATTAATCATTTTTCCTTTGATCTTGATTCTTTTTTGATGATGTTTCATGCAGCCTTAGAACCTGGAACACTGGAAACCAAACCTTCAACAACAACATTAGGTAATGCAGTTATTGAGTGACCTCTTTTCCGGACTGCTGGTGGCTTTATTAATAGGCTCATATTAATGGATTAATCCATTAATATTCATTTTTGTGTGTGTTTTTTATTCTTACTCCCAGAGAAACATTTTTAATCTATAATTTTATAAACTGTATCTCAATTTTAAAATATACCTTCCCTGAAATAATTTCTGAATTCAAAATACATCTTGCTGATTTGCAGATTTTTTTAATGCTGAGTGCAAAACTTTTTCTTTTGAATCTTAGGCCAAAGAAATTTTAATTGTTATCCCTAGTGGCTTTTTAAGCATAACTTTTCTCATGTTCCTATTGAACAAGCACTTTCAAAATTTTTATGAGACTGTTTTCTCTAAGTTATACAGAGTTCTAGGTTTTCCCGTCTCAAAATGGATGAACAAGGGATCTCTTGAACAAGGATTGTTTACAAATCTTGGTCCAAAAAAATATAATTGAAGATTCACTTAACTGGCCAAAACAATATAATTAAAGATTCACTTATTATTTAATGATAGAAAGGTGCAAAACAGAAGGGTACATATCCACAGTAAATCAAAGAGTTTAAATGTGCTTCTGAGGTATATGTAAAATTGTTTGTCCTGTGTTAACTCGCTAATTGTCTTTCTCCAGCTCCACCAAAGACCAAAAGACCAGGTCGTCGCCCCCGCCCCAAAACCACACGTAGCCCAGATGTGCCCAAGTCCAAACCTGGTAAATGTGATGTTGAGGGTTTCAATTAACACAGAAAGTGGAATATGATAGCTTCTGATATAGTAGCTATCTACTACCTACGTTGCTGGACTTTAGGAACCACCGTAGTTGATGTTTATATTTAAGGAACCACCGTAGTTGATGTTTATCTGTACTAACCGTCCATATTCATGTTACATGAATATACACATTTATATTTACAGGTACACACAATAGTAAGCTGACTCACTAAGTGTATTATTAAAGTAGGGCACCCTAACATCTTACGGAGGATGCATATTCATGGCAGATGAGCTGTGGGAGAAGAGGAGGGAAAGGGGAAAATAAAAGGGAGAATCACACCCAAAAAGAGCACACAGGTTAAGTAAAGATTGAGGAGTAATGTTTACTTCCTCAAGATGCTGCTTCTTGATGTAATTATTCTTTTTGATTTTTCACTTCTGTAGCTCTGCAACCTGCTACGGTACAACCGGAGCTCTGGGTGCCCACAGTCGGTAATTCTGCTCTCCTCCACCTGCTCTCATGTTGTCACTTTTGCTTTTCCTACTCTCCACCAGGCATGACTGCACTTCTGCCAGATCACCACAATTTCATTCCATGCGTCCCCTCAGTTTCCTATCTGGGTCTGAAGAACCCGATGATAGGAGACTTCCAGAAGAATCCTGTGTGCTTGTTTAAGGAAGCTCTGTGGCCTTGGACACAACTTCCTGGTTTTTCACTAACCCTCTGCCTTTCCATCCCATGTGTCCTTGTGGTGAAAAGACCATCTATTCTCCCAGACAGAGGCTTCTGTGCGCATCCTGAACTTGACAAATGGCAAAATTTCATTTCAGTGCCCTCATTATCATTTCATTGATTTACTCATTCAACTTGTTTGACATTCTTTCTTTTTAAAAGCTGCATGAAATAATGGCTTCTTTAGCTTTTTTGTTTCTTTGAAAAAAAATTTTGAGTATGTTTTGATAATTAGAAGGACAAATACTATCCTTGGTCTACGATCCAATGTAAAAATAGGATGGTCTGTAACTTGAGAACATTAGATGTCCCAGCTGGTTTTATTGTTTTTAGTACTCATGCTGTTGATGATAATTATTTCATTGTAAGTTCTCATCATTCACAATAAATCTGTCACTACTTTACTTTAGAAAATTCCAGAAATCAGTAGCCATGTAACATTGTATAGAATTTCAAGTGTTAAAGATTATTTCCCAGGTCCCCTACTAAGCAAGTTTCAAATTTCTACCATATTATTTTTATACTGAAAAAAAATCAATTAAGAAATAGAACTATTATACTTATCACATTTGAAATTACTTATGTAGAAAAGAAGTCTTATTACAATTCTCATTATTTTTGCTCAAAGACACATGTTGAGCATTTCCTGGAGTTTTTTCTTTTGGACATATTTCCCATTCTTCCCACAACCTAGGAGTTAATTTTGCTGTATATCACTGAAATTATTTAGTATATTTGCTCGAGCCTATATGTCCTTAATTCTGATAGTTACAGCCATGACCATTATGCTAATTTTAATACTTTTTCTTTAGCATCAGAACCATCCAAAAGACCCTAAACCACACATAGACCAGACATACCTCAAATCCAGCCTGCTAGCCACTACTTTCAGTGCCTTGATTTATAACTAGGAAAACTTTGTGTCAGTAACATTAATCTTGACATTCACAGCTCTGCTATGACACTAATTATAACACCTTTTTTCCTTCAGATTCAAAACCACCAAAGCAATTACTTCCTAAACCCCAAACCACAGCAAAACCAGATATGCCATCAACTAAATCCGGTAAACATAAGTTCCAATGCTTTGGTTTAAGAAGCTCTTTCTTTGGGAATGTTGCTGAAAATACTTACAGTTTGTTATATCACATAAAACATAGAAACCCAAGCACCATGACTTTGTTCATTATTGTCTCAGAGTAGTCACACTAATGTTGTAAGTGTGAAATGAACAAATCAATGCGTGGGAAATTAGTACATTTTACAACTGATACTGACAGCTGCTGTTTTCTTAAGGAGTTTGTAGGCGTTGTTTTCTGAGTCTGGGTGTGTAATGAATGGGAGCCTGGTTTTCTGTATCTGGACCATTTCTGAAAGTGCAGTGAGCAGCCACCGCCAGGCAGCACTTGGGAGGCTGGCACTGCGTTCTTCCTTCGTGGGCACAGAATCAGAGCTTGGCCTCCTCTCAAATACCTTATTGACATTTTAAACAGCAACTATTTACTAAGTGATTTCCTACCAAATAAGGGGATGTTTATATAACAGTTCTGGAAATTCAACTGTTTTGCAATTGAAAATTTCTCCTAAGATTCCCATGAGTATAAAATTCTAACTTACTAAGAGCATCTCTCATTAAGCCTATCAAGAAGACAATTTATATCACTTTTGAATTTATATCAGGTTCTCTAGCCTCTGAATTAAGCATCAGTGATCACTTAAAAGTTTAGACTTACTGCTTTTATCGTTTTTATCTGTTTGTTTTCTGTGCTGCAGGCTTTGAGCCTGTTACATTGGAGGCTGGAGCTCCTTCCATAACCATAGGTAATGATGGCTGTCTTCCTTCTTGTCAGTGTTTCTCTGAGCTTGCTCCTCTCATCTCTGTCGTTATCTGTGTTCTCTTGTGTAAACGGTTATTCACCATCTTTTTCATTCATTTCCAACGTTGTTAGGGACCTTTTTTACATTGGGAGGCCATCTGGCATCTGCTGCTCAGCTGACAATCCCTGATGTTACTCTTCCCTGGGTCACCTTCAGAGGCTCTCAGATTGCTTCCGGCCCTTGACGCTGTCAGGAGTCACAGGGGCTCTCTCCATCCATCCTTTAAACCAGGACATGTTTGAGATTTCTGTTTTTATGTGTATAATTTATAAATGTGGGAGGGGATCAATGAAAAAGCTGGTTGGGGCTTGACACAATACATAATTATTTCTTTCTCGAAAAATCTCTTGCTTCCTTGATTCCATACTATTCAAACACAACTTGAATGAATGCAATTTTCTGTTGAAAAATTAAGCTTATGGTGCTGAATTCCAAACAAAATAAGGATTCCCCTTTTTTGTTTGAAGGCAGTCAGTTTTGAATATGGTTTTCATCCTGTTGTTCTCGCTTCCTCCCTCTCTTCTGTCTGCCATGTTTTCCATTAGTTCAGAAAATGTTCTCAGATGTGGCTTAACCTAACTCAGTGCTATACATCTTGGACAGTCAATAAAAAGCAATCTTCATATAATTGCTTACAGGGTTTTTAGTGATAAAAATGTTTTAATGTTACGTTTAATCTTTTGAATTTAATGAAAAATAGAAACTAATTTAAAAGTAGGGAGTCAATAAATCTTAATTTCATACCTATGCATAATTTAATCATTACAGAATTTAAAACTAGAGAGGTACTAAATCTTAACTTCATCTCTATGCATAATTTAATCATTACAGAATTCTAGGCATCCTATTTATCCAGACAAAAAATTGAATTATTGCTTTTCAGAATTTTTTCTTAATCATCTCTTCTTCTCACTTGAATAATTATCTCCTAATTATCCATTTGAAATAAATGAATAAATAAGAAACGGTAAGAAAATGTATCACATTTATTCTGGAGAAAGTCAAAAGTTTATCTTTTGTATAACTGCCTCAGATCTCTGATAAACAGACTAAGATTTTTAAAAATTCTCCTCACTACCAATATTCCTCAAAACATATATCAAGAATGATGGTAAAGGGTTTCAGATACAAACGGGAAAGCAAGTTTCCAGTATAGTTGGAATCAGATAATTAAACACAGAAAAAAATACTTTTCATTGGCCTCATAAGGATGCAAAGTGCAAAGAGTATGACTATCTTGTGAGATTAATGGATACCAGTGTACAGCCAGTTATTGGAGAACAAATACTATTTTTCCAGAGTTCAGAACTGCTTTTTAAACATTACAGAGCTAAGAAGACTTATTTTCAAGGTAATTTTTTCCCTGTGTTTCTTAATCTCCATTGCTCATTGTATTGCTTTTGGTCAGTTCCTGCCACAGACATTGAACCTGAAAGTCTGAGAACTGCGGCTCCCTGGACAACATTAGGTAATAACCTTCTACATCTTGAAGCAAGTGCATTTTCTGCTCATTGTTTAGCCTATTCCATTACTATCTTGGTCAGGGGCCTTTCTCTTTCCTAGGATTTTTCTCATCATCCTCTCTTGTCATTCCACTAGATCCCTCGCTTTGTACTGAAGATGTCTAAAACAAGTCACTTGGTTAGAATTTAAGCCTGTTTGCAGCTAATGCAAAGCATCTATCTCCCGTTCTATCCAGCTTTATTAATACTTTACAGGGCCTGTGATTCTGCCCAGTGCTCGGTGATAAAGCTGAATTTCAAATACAATTCTGCCCCATACACATCATTTATAACTCTGTGTACATCAACAGAAAGTTGTTATAAAATATGCAGGGCACCTTTGTTGTCTACCAAGGATGTTAAGTAATGAAATGTGCTTTTCCCAATCATGTTTCATGGGATATATGCCTAACTGAAGTATTATCTAAGTAAAGTCCTCCAGAAGCTGGTGAGCTGGGGTCCCTCTCTAACCTGACAAGTACATGCTGCGCTCTGATTTTTTTTGGTCAGGGTCATCATTGAAAATCTGACACCAACAATAACAATAATGGTTTCAGGTTATTCAAATAATGTTATACAGACTTTTTCAAAATAAATGTTAGGAGGCCCCCCTAAAAGTATTTTTTTGCATATGGATGACAAAGAAATTTTTTGAAATAAAGAGGAAAATTTCTTAAGACTCAAAGAAATCTAGCAAAATTTTAGAAAACCTAGAGCCATGTATAAATCCTTTTTTAGTTTCTGGAGTTATTTGATATTAACCAGTTTCCTTTCTTCAGCTCCAAAAACATCCAAACGACCAAGAACACGTCCTCCACGTCCCAAACCTTCAAAACGTCCCAAACCTTCAAAACCTCCCAAACATGCCAAACATGAAACCACGCCGAGCCCAGAGGCACCTGCGACCGCACTAGGTAAATATATGGCTCCTGGTGCCTGTGGAACCTCCTAGGATGTGATACTGGGATGACAGTTTAAATTGCCTCCTAATTACCTCTGTGACCCTTCAGGGTGAAGGCCCTAGCAGACACCTGTGACTTCTTCTTGGTACCTGTGTATTTATTTACTTCTCTGACCACTGAATTACATTTTTCTCTGTGATTCTGACAAAGTTCATTTTCAAGAGAATTTGATAACTTTTCTCCTGTGTTTAACGTTTCTTTTTTAAAAGTACCTTTGATCATTTCTTGCTACTGACATTGAACCTGTCACTGCTGGGACATCTTTAGGTATCGATTCTTTATGTCCTTCAGCAAGAGCTTTTTCACATTCATTGTCAAACGTATCTATGGTGCTATACAGATGATGACGTCAAACTGTGTCATCCTACTACAGTATTCATCTTAAAATCTAAACAGCTTTCTTTCTAACAGAAATGGGCATGGACTTAATTCAGAACAGCTGTCTTCTCCACATCCCAGCTTGAAATTGCATCTCTGTTTAAATAGTACTGTTTGTGAGAGCTGAGGTCCAAATGTGATTATCTATATGACCCTTATTGAGACCACCAGTACAGTATCAATTGTAATACCATGAAGTTTCTCTAAGTATCTCACTTTCTACATTCAAGTTCTACGTAACTTTTTTTTTACTTTGTTGATGTTTCAGTGAATTTTGTGTACTATATTCTAGTAAATTACAAAGTGTAAAAATTGTCCAAGCCTAATCATTTTAAATTGTTATAAGTGAATATAGGGTGGTTTGAACTCCTTTCACACCATCATAGTTTAGCAGTGATTTGTAATCAGTTTTGGATTAAGGGCATTTCAAGAATATGAGAGTTTGTCATATTTATTTCTTAAACATAATTATAATGTAATTTTTAATCTCTGAAGAACCCTTAATTATAAATGAAAACCTATTAATATACTAAAGGAGAAAATTTCAAACCAAAGTAACAGTTTTCTCCACTTAAAGAAATTCTGACAAGCTTTAGAAAGCTTAGAGTTACGCTTTATCATCCTATTCAGAGTTTCTGGAGCCATCAGCACTATATTAATACTAATTTTTCTTCCTTCAGCTCCAACAACAACAAAGAGACCCCGTCGTCCACGTCCCAAACCTAAAAAACCCACACCCCAGCCAGAAGTACCTCAGATTCCACTGGGTAAATATGTGGTTTCTCATTTAAGGAATCCAAACAGTCACCCAAGTTGGGGTCCTAAATTCTATGCACATAATTGATATAGGTCCTATGTATCTATTAAGAGTAAAAGCTACTGGTTAGGAGAACATGACCTGAGTACCCCATGCCTCCTGCTTGGGAATCTTCTCCTTCAATGTACCTTTTGCTATTTGAGTCCACTCATGTTAAAGCTTGCTCAGTAAAGTATGAGCCTATATAATCAATTCAACTACTTTCATTAATCCTGTTTAAACCCCATAACCATATTAGCAGCTGTGAGATACATCAGAAGTACGAAGTAAGTTTTATTTCCCCAATCAGTTTGTACTATAGCTGTAAACAAAAGCTGTTCCTGCATAAACCAGTAGAAAATGACATAAGGTGGCATGTTTATATGATGTAAAATAACTTCTCAAATGGTGCAATTACTATATGCTAGGAGTGTGGCGAGTATTTGGAACAGGAAAAAATCTAGGATAATTAGAAAGAAATCAGTACAGAATTTAGACTAGTGGCAGACAAGCAAGGAATGTGTTGAAGCTGGCATACCAAACAGAGGATGACTTGTTGGTGCCATCCTGTTAAATGGGCTCATGGGATGGATTAAGGGGGAGTCTGGGCCCTAGCCAGTTGGACTCAGTGGATAAAGCTACGGCCTGTAGACTGAAGGGTCTTGGGTTTGATTCCAGTCAGGGGCACATGACCAGGTTGTGGGCTCTATCCCCAGTAGGGGGCATGCAGGAGGCAGCCAATCAATGATTCTCTCTCATCATTGGTGTTTCTATCTCCCTCTTCCTCTCCCTTCCTCTCTGAAATCAATTTTATATCCCTCCTCTTTGAAATCAAATCAATTATATATATATATATATAAATTATAAATAAAGGGGAGTCTGGGATGTCTACTCAAGAGCTTACATTTGATCCAGTGGGCTTTTTTAGAACTGAAGATGCCTAGCTTAATATGATACAACAAACTGAGAGGTTGTTCCTCATCTTAATGATGTTAAATGCCAGTTTCCACTAAGGATTAGTCTCTTAGTAAGTATAGTCTCAGCTTCCTTTAGGCTCTCTGTTGTATGTGTGGTAGACAGACTAGGGTGACCCCCTGCTCCCCACCCCACTCCATCTCCCACCCCCATAGTTCCTACCTCTTGGTGTTAAAGCTTTGTATAATCCATCTTTTCCCTCCCCCTTCCCCTCTCCTTTAGAAGCATTATTTTTACTGGCAAGATGAATTTTCTGACATCTCATGAATTCACAAAAAAATCTTTTTGGTTCCTTTTATTGTTTTTGATCAGTTCCTGCCACAATCTTTGAACCAGTTATTCCTAGAACCGAAGCTCCTGGAACAACACTAGGTAATGACACATCATGTTCACCAGCATCTGCTTTTCCTGCTCATTTCAACCCATTTCATCACCCTCACAACCATGGATCTTCCGACTTCACAGGACTTCTGTGTCATCCTCCATTGTCATTCAATTACTTCTTAATACACTGAAGAGTATTAAAACAACTCATTTGTTTTAAGAAGGCCAAGTATAACAAGCACAATCCTATTCTCAGCTTCTGGAACGAAAACACTCTATTAACCAGAGATTTTCTTCCTTTAGCGCCCAAAGTGCCTGAACAAACTCAGCATCCACGTCCCAAACCTAAAACCACACCGAGTCCTGAAGCTCCTCAGACCGAACTAGGTAAATGCATAGATCCTGGATAAGGAGTCCTGGCAACCCATCCCCGTGGGGTCCAGAGAAAGGGAAGGGACAAGGCAGGGTCAGGAGCTGCTTCCACTCCACAGTAGGCTTGAGGACACGTTTCTTTTTAAAAGTACTTTTGATCATTTCTTGCTACAGACATTGAACCTGTCACTCCTGGGACATCTTTAGGTATCGATTCTTTATGTCCTTCAGCAAGAGCTTTTACACATTCATTGTCAAACGTATCTATGGTGCTATACAGATGATGACGTCAAACTGTGTCATCCTACTACAGTATTCATCTTAAAATCTACACAGCTTTCTTTCTAACAGAAATGGGCATGGACTTAATTCAGAACAGCTGTCTTCTCCACATCCCAGCTTGAAATTGCATCTCTGTTTAAATAGTACTGTTTGTGAGAGCTGAGGTCCAAATGTGATTATCTATATGACCCTTATTGAGACCACCAGTACAGTATCAATTGTAAAATCATGAAGTTTCTATAAGTATCTCACTTTCTACATTCAAGTTCTACATAACTTTTTTTTTACTTTGTTGATGTTTCAGTGAATTTTGTGTACTATATTCTAGTAAATTACAAAGTGGAAAATTTATCCAAGTCTAATCATTTTAAATTGTTATAAGTGAATATAGGGTGGTTTGAACTCCTCTCACACCATCATAGTTTAGCAGCGATTTGTAATCAGTTTTGGATTAAGGGCATTTCAAGAAAATGAGAGTTTGCCATATTTATTTCTTAAACATAATTGTAATGTAATTTTTAATCTCTGGAGAACCCTTAATTATAAATGAAAACCTATTAATATACTAAAGGAGAAAATTTCAAACCAAAGTAACAGTTTTCTCCACTTAAAGAAATTCTGACAAGTTTTAGAAAGCTTAGAGTTACGCTTTATCATCCTATTCAGAGTTTCTGGAGCCATCAGCACTATATTAATACTAATTTTTCTTCCTTCAGCTCCAACAACAACAAAGAGACCCCGTCGTCCACGTCCCAAACTTAAAAAAACCACACCCCAGCCAGAAGTACCTCAGATTCCACTGGGTAAATATGTGGTTTCTCATTTAAGGAATCCAAACAGTCACCCAAGTTGGGATCCTAAATTCTATGCACATAATTGATACATGTCCTATGTATCTATTAAGAGTAAAAGCTACTGGTTAGGAGAACATGACCTGAGCACCCCATGCCTCCTGCGTGGGAATCTTCTCCATCAATGTACCTTTTGCTATTTGAGTCCATTCATGTTAAAGCTTGCTCAGTAAAGTATGAGCCTATACAATCAATTCAACTACTTTCATTAATCCTGTTTAAACCCCATAACCATATTAGCAGCTGTGAGATACTTCAGAAGTAGGGAATATGTTTTATTTCCCCAGTTCATACTATAGTTGTAAACAAAAGCTGTCCCTGCATAAACCAGTAGAAAATAACATAAGGCGGCATGTTTATATGAATATAAAATAACTTCTCAAATGGTGCAATTACTATATGCTAGGAGTGTGAGAAGTATTTGGAACAGGAAAAAAAATCCAGGATAATTAGAAAGAAATCAGTACAGAATTTGGACTATTGGCAGATAAGCAGGGAATGTGTTGAAGCTGGCATACCAAACAGAGGATGACTTGTTGGTGCCATCCTGTTAAATGGGCTCATGGGATGGATTAAGGAAGAGTCTAGGCCCTAGCCAGTTGGACTCAGTGGATAGAGCTTCAGCCTTTGGACTGAAGGGTCCCGGGTTTGATTCCAGTCAAGGGCACATGCCCAGGTTGTGGGCTCTATCCCCAGTAGGGGCATGAAGGAGGCAGCCAATCAATGATTCTCCTCATCATTGATGTTTCTATCTCCCTCTTCCTCTCCCTTCCTCTCTGAAATCAATTTTACTAGTACATCCTTCCTCTCTGAAATCAATTATATATATATATATATAAATTATAAATAAAGGGGAGTCTGGGATGTCTACTCAAGAGCTTACATTTGATCCAGTGGGCTTTTTTAGAACTGAAGATGCCTAGCTTAATATGATACAACAAACTGAGAGGTTGTTCCTCATCTTAATGATGTTAAATGCCAGTTTCCACTAAGGATTAGTCTCTTAGTAAGTATAGTCTCAGCTTCCTTTAGGCTCTCTGTTGTATGTGTGGTAGATAGACTAGGGTGAACCCCTGCTCCCCACCCCACTCCATCTCCCACCCCCATAGTTCCTACCTCTTGGTGTTAAAGCTTTGTGTAATCCATCTTGTCCCTCCCCCTCCCCTCTCCCTTAGAAGCATTTTTTTTTACTGGCAAGATGAATTTTCTGACATCTCATGAATTCACAAAAAATCTCTTTGGTTCCTTTTATTGTTTTTGATCAGTTCCTGCCACAATCTTTGAACCAGTTATTCCTAGAACCGAGGCTCCTGGAACAATACTAGGTAATGACACATTATGTTCACCAGCATTTGCTTTTCCTGCTCATTTCAATCCATTTCATCACCCTCACAACCATGGATCTTCCGTCTTCACAGGACTTCTGTGTCATCCTCCATTGTCATTCAATTACTTCTTAATACACTGAAGAGTATTAAAACAACTCATTTGTTTTAAGAAGGCCAAGTATAACAAGCATAATCCTATTCTCAGCTTCTGGAATGAAAACACTCTATTAACCAGAGATTTTCTTCCTTTAGCTCCCAAAGTGCCTGAACAAACTCAGCATCCACGTCCCAAACCTAAAACCACACCGAGTCCTGAAGCTCCTCAGACCGAACTAGGTAAATGCACAGATCCTGGATAAGGAGTCCTGGCAGCCCATCCCTGTGGAGTCCAGAGAAAGGGAAGGGACAAGGCAGGGTCATCCGCTGCTTCCACTCCACAGTAGGCTTGAGAACACGGTTGGAGAGGTCTTAGGTGGTAGCCAAATTCCCTGTACATTGTGAATCTGAATCTTCTATTTGACTTCTAATTTGATTCTACTCACCCTTTAAATATTGAACTTGTATTATGGAGTGAAACAACTACAAAACAACATATGTTTGGACAAATAGGAAATTATTTCTTGGTAACTATAAAGGTTGTGTAAATCATAGTAAGCATCACCCGGCCAGTGTGGGTCAGTGGATGAGCATCAACCAGGAAACTAAGAGGTCACTGGTTAGTTGGAGCACATCCCTGGGTTGGGGGCTCGATCCCCAGGGGTGTGCAGGAGGCATCTAATCAATGACATTTCTCTCTCATGTATTTTTCTATCTCTCTATCCCTCACCCTCCCTCTCTCTTTAAAATAAAAACAAAATGAATAAAAACAAAACTTTTAAAAAGTCATAGTAAGGATCTAGGGCCAGAGTTAGCAAACATTTTTTTTCAAAGAACTAGATAGTAAATACTTGGGGGCTTTGGGTGTTATATAGTCTTTGTTGCCTATTTTTCTTTTCTCCCTTTTTTCTTACAACTTAAAATAGGGAAAAAAATAATTTTTTGCTCTCATGGGCTGTTTGAAAACAAGCCATGGACAAGATTTGGTGTAGGAGGCATAGTTTTGGGAGGAAGGGGATGAAGAAGTACAGAAAGGAAGGACATGTGTAGAAGCCAGTGAGAGGAGGCAACGGCTTCTAAGTGTTGATTGGAGCATTTCATTGAGATTACAGCAGATAAATGAGCCCAATTGGGCCAGTTGAAAAGGGATTTTGAATGTTGGCTTTGGGAGTTTGGATTTCATAAGAATCATCAGTATCCATGTGTGGTCGAGCTTTCCCTAAGCACTGGACAGACAGATAGATACCCTGCTACCTCAGACTGAATGGGTGCCCCTTACGCTGCTCTTTAAGTATCCTGGTGGTATCTTTCAAAGATGAGTTTTCAGCATGATAGGTATGGTCTACTTTGGTGCATTACTTAGACTAGGATTACCAAAGTGAGTGAGAATCTTCAGGGGCACTTCATAGGGATAGTTATCTGAGTACAAAGATGGTCTCAAAGTGGTACATTGGTACCTGAGTGCAGAGATGCCATACCCCTCCGCTCAGAGGGTTGGTAGTGTTTGCTTGGTACTCTAGACACATGATTGCTTTGGTACAATTCTTTTTGAAGTGAATGTTCTGAGATGATATAAATGTTTACCATTTCATCGTTTTATTGTTATTCTTTTTGGTCAGCTCCTACTCTAGTCCTGGAACCATTTACCCCTTTAAAAGAGGCTCCAGGGACAGCATTTGGTAATGCCACTTTTTGACCTTCAGCAAGTGCTTGCTTTGCTCATTGTCAAACCTGTTCCACTTTGTTTCCATTCAACTAAATTCTTCAACTTATGAGCTGAACAAATTACCTCTTGTTCTTAAGAGAGCCATGCCTAGATCTAGTTTGGGATAGCTTCTTGTCCTGTACAGTTCTTTAACATTTTTTCATGCCACCTTATGTTTTTAGATTAACCAGAGTGCTTTGTTAAGGTAAATTACATAAATGCCTGGTCTTGGTCTATGCTAACAAGGAATAGGAAAGTTTCTTTATACATTCTTTGTACATATACCTTTTTATCTGCCTGGGTTTTTTTTTATTATTGTTGCTGTTGTTGTTTTGTTAACATTTGGGTAGTGTGTTTTTAGTGGATTGTCTAACAGATAATATGATCAAGGTTGATAAGTTTAAATGGCAAGCTCCATCCTTATGGTTAATCTGACTCTCCCTTACTCTCCACCATAGTTTAGAAATGATTTTTGACCTAGCTGGTTTTGCTCAGTGGATAGAGCATCGGCCTACAGACTGAAGAGTCCTGGGTTCTATTCTGGTCAAGGGCACATGCCTGGGTTGTGGGCTCAAGCCCCTGTAAGGGGCGTGCAGGAGGCAGCCAATCAATAATTCTCTCTCATTATTGATGTTTCTATCTCTCTCACCCTTCCTCTCTGAAACCAATAAAAATATATATTTTTTAAAAAGAAATAATTCTTAAAATTTTAAATGTAGTCAGGGAACTCTAGGATAATGTGAAAAATACCAATCTGACTCCCTGAATTAATAACTTCATTTTTATGTTAATTTTGTGTACACACACACACACACACACACACACACACACCCATCTTCAGTAACAAAAGAAGACACAGTAACATAGTAGGAGAATTTTTTTATGCTAGAAAGATCCATTTCCTGAAACTCAAGAAAATCTATCAAGATTCGGAAAACTTCAAGATTTTTTTTACAACCCTATAATTTGCAGAACCATAAACTTTAAAGTAACTGAACTTTATATTTTTTTCACATCCCAAAACATCCCAATGGACATGTCATTCACAATACAAACTTAAGACCACTCCATGTCCAGATGCACTTGAAACTATACCAGATAAAAGCAGAGTCCTTGGTTTAAAGTCACTGATCAAGAATGTAAACTCAGATACCATCTAGAGAGGGAATCATGAAGAGTCCTTCCTCCTTCAGGGTTGGAAGAGTTTATGTTTGGAAGAGACATAATCTTCCCTCAAAGTCTGAGTATTAGAGACATGTTTTACTTCTCAGTCTGCAGGCTAATTGAGCAGAAAAACTTTTCCTGCATGAAAAGCCTAGAGAATGAGAAGAAGGCAGGGTGTTTGTACAAATTCAAGATTTTTCTTGGATACATAAAGTGTTAGATGCATCATATAAAGTCTTGAAGAAATGAAAATCTATTTGGGCTTCTGTAGAGTAGGAATAGAGTTTGGACCTTGATGTCACATCAGAATTTATACAAATGGAAAGGTGAGAGTGAACAAAGATGAAAAGAATAGGATATGTGTAGAGGCAAACAGAGGGGGAGGAGATCTCGCTTCTTCTATCAGTCAGAGTATTTTTGTTGGTGATTCTGCATTTGGATGACACCGTGAAAGTTGAAGGAGGCTGATATTGTTCACATGGGGATTAGAAATCTCTTCTTTCCACACTGAATTGAGTTGTGCCTCTATGAGAGTGAACGGGTGCTAAACAGTGACCAAAAGTGATGACTATCTCATGAGATAAAAATGTTGAGAACTATAGTTTGGCCAAATCAGGATAAAGAAAGTGATTTCTCTTTGTATTAGTTTGCTAAAGCACCATAGCAAAATACTACAGACTGGGCGGCTTAAACAACAGAAATCTACTTCTTATGACTCTGCAGCTTAGAATTCTAAGATCAAGGTGTCAGCAAGTTTGATTTCTCCTAAAGTCTCTCCCCTTGGCTTGCAGATGACCACCATCTTGCTATGTCTTTTCTCTCCCTTTGTCCTTGCACAAAAGTTCTTCATCTCTCTCCCTCTTCCTATAAGTACTTTAGTCCTATTGGGTTGGGGTCTCACCCATCAATGACCATTAATTGCTTCTTTAAAGGCCCCGGCTCCAAATACAGTTACACTGGGAGTTAAGGCTTCATGTGACTCTTAAGAAGACATAATTCAGTCCATTACTACCAGAAATTTTTTTAAAATTATTCTAAAGGTGCCGGAACCGGTTTGGCTCAGTGGATAGAGCGTCGGCTTGTGGACTGAAAGGTCCCAGGTTCGAATCTGGTCAAGGGCATGTACCTTGGTTGCGGGCACATCCCCAGTGGGAGATGTGCAGGAGGCAGCTGATCGATGTTTCTCTCTCATCGATGTTTCTAACTCTCTATCTCTCTCCCTTCCTCTCTGTAAAAAATCAATAAAATATATTTTAAAAAATAAATAAATAAAATAAAATTATTCTAAAGGTGATAGGATACTGGCAAATTCATTTTGAAGTAATGTAGCTCTTGATACCTTCTTTATTTCTATTACTTCAGTTCCTATTACAGACCTCGGACCCGTTACTTTTACAACTGAGACCTCTGGGACAACATTAGGTAATGACTCTGCCATTCGCCTAGTGCTTTTGCTGTTCATCGTACAGTCAACTCATTCTCCATTCCCATAACAGCTTTTCCTTGTTCACGAGACAGCCTCCATCCTCCTCCATTGCCATTCAAGCACTTCCTTCATCTGAAGAATGCTGAAGCCTCTTAAAAACAAGTTTCCTGTTGTTTTTACGAGAGCAGGCATGACCTTAGTCCAAAGCATGAACCTGTCATGTGGTGCATTTGAAACTGTCATGTTATCTTGTGCTTCTCTGAAACGCGTTCTGTGTTAAAGCTGAGTTTAAAACAAATGTGGATCTATTTCTTAACTAGGCTGATTTTCAATAACAGCTACTCCAATGTTCCCTTGGGCATCCAAGTTTCTAGATTTTTTTAACTATTTGCATGTTATTTTTGTTTCTTTCTTGGTACTTTAAGTACTGATGTATTTTGTTACTAATTTGACAAATAAGGAATTGCCCAAATCTGAAATTTTAAATTGCATGCCTCTTCCTTAGTATGACCCTAACTTCCCCTCCTCTTGCGTCATAGTTGAGCACTCCTTCTCAATCATTTTTTCCCAGTGAGAAAATGCTCTGAGTGTCTCATTATTTTCATGACTTGAATGAGTGATGAGGTGCCCCCAAAGTTCCCTCAATGACAATAAGAAGACACATTGTTATAAAATTAGTAAAAATTTTAAACTATAGACAATTTCCAGGAAATTTAGGAAATCTAACAGGTTTTGGAAAAAACCTCCCCTTCATGTCAAAAGCCATCAGACCTAGAGTAACACAAGGCTTTTCTTTCTTCAGCTACCAAAGCATCAAAAAGACCCCATCGTCCACATCTCAGACCTAAAACTACACTGAGCCCTCAAGTACCTCAGACCAAACCTGGTAAATGTGTGACTCTTTGATTTAATGATGAGCCCTAGTAGCCTAATGAGGATGCAAAGCAGTGCCAAGCTCTCCCTTTCTCTAAGTGTGAGGTCATGAGGCAGAGTCAATAATGTCTCCTCTTCCCAGGTGTCAAGGAGAATATGACTATGTGAGATAACATGTGAAAATATTCTTTGATATGCATTTAGTATATTTCTATCAAATTTTATTCAAATCTTAAACTTCTTTAGCAAGCCAGTATATTCAGTTCAAGTAACTAAACAAATTGTAGGCCCCTTTCATATACCTGGACTAATATTGGCAATTGTGGGTGATTTGTCAGCTGTAGGAGACCTATTTTACTTCTAAAACAGTAAAGTTGAGTACATGTTTGCATGATACAAACACTAAATATTGATCTTACAAAAGAAAAGATCAAGGTGAATTGGACCTTGAGCCCACTACAGGATTTGAATGAATGGAGGGAAACGTGAACCAAAAAAAGGACTGGACATATAGGTAGGGTAGGGGTTGGGCCCTGAGGGTGATCCAGTCTGCCTGAAGCAGACTCTCCTACTTCAAAATAATCAAAACATGGCTGTTGCTGACCCTGCCTTTGGAAGGGTCCATATTCTAGACAGAGTTGAAAGAGGATTTTGAGGACCTGAATCAGGAGCTTAGACTTTATACAGAGACATCAACTGTCTCAACTTTTATTTTTTTATTTTTCTGGGCTTAGGCCATCTGGCTGAGTATTACAGACTGAGTGACTATCTTTATTCTACTCTCTTATGTACCATGACTTGGACAGCGGACTCAGATTCTTTCCATAGATGAGTTCTTGGCAAGATCAACATAGTCCACTTCAATGATTAATTTTTATATCTGTTTCAAACTTACAAACTACTTATTTATCCATGTTGACTTAAACATTGTGAGTATTCATGTTCAGCTTCCATAGAAGTACAAGTTGATCAGATTTTTTAATAGACAGTTTCTTTTCTGCGTGTATATTATAAAATACATGTAGAGTTTCCTTTAACCAGGAGAATTTCATATTGACTTCTTTAAGATACTAAGCTAGTTCAAAGGCTAATCCTAAATCCGGCTGTGAATATAATTTGTCCAAATTTTCAAAGAACAAACATCTACTCTTTTTCTCAGTTATTTTTTTCTTTGTTTCTATAAAAGTATTATATACAAGTAAGATTGTTTGGATGTGAATGTTCTAACTTTTCACATATTTTAAAATCTCTTTGGTTAACTGTGTTTTTGGTCAGTTCCTGCTACAGTCCTGGAACCTGTCACTTTTAGACCAGAGGCCACAGGAACAACATTTGGTAATGATACCCTGTGTTTTCAATAAGACTTTTCCTGATTACTGTAAAATCCAGAGTTTCATCTTGCTTCATGTGATAATAGTGTCATCCTTCCTGGTCATTCATTTACATTCTCTTCTTAAAATTATGAAAACTGTTTTTAATTGAATTTATTGGGGTGACATTGGTTAATAAAATTATATAGATTTCAGGTATACAATTCTACACTACATCTTCTGTACATTGTAATGTGTGTTCACCACCCCAAATCAAGTCTCCTTCCACCATTTATCCCTCCTTTACCCTCTTTTACCTGCCCCCACCCATCTCCCTCCTTCTGGGAATCACCATACTGTTTGTCTGTGTCCATAAGTTTTTCTAGAAGGATGAAGAGATTAAGCAAATTTATGAAAACTGTTAAAACGAATTACCTGTTGTTTTTAATAGAACCAGTCATACATGACCACATTAGAACATTTATTTGCCATGTAACCTACTTGAAACAGAGAAAGCCATTAACAGCCATCATAGGGCCAAGAGGACCCATTATTGCATGTCTACATTTCTAACTTTTTTTTCTATTTGCATAGAATTTAGTTGTTTTGTTTCTATTTAGGGAATACTATGTCCTTATTTTAATAGTTATGTAAACATGTGCCCAAAATTGAAAGATTAAATTATAAATCTCAGACTTAGTATGACCTTTATTATCCATTAAAATTTAGGGACAGTTCTTAACATTTTTGTTGCCCAATCAAGCTGTCTTGTGTGACTTTGATTATAATTACTAATCTTTACTTATTTAATTTAAAAGTATTTTTGTTTTCAAATAATCTTCTATGATGAAAGAAGATATAAGAGGAGTATATATGACAAAAATCTCAAAGTAAAAAGGCAAATATCTAACAAGTTGTGGAAAATCTAGAGCCATGTTTTGACCTCTAATAGCATCCAGAACCATAGATAATGTAGTTATGTAGTAACCCAAGAATTTCTTCCTTCAGTTTCCAAACCATCACAGCGGAAGGGTCGTCCATGTCACAGACCAAAAACCACACCAGGTCCTGAAACACCTGAGTCCAAACCAGGTAAACACGTATTCCTGGTTTAGAGTCCCAGCAGCCTAATTGAGCAGGATCTCAGGAGTAATATTTGGAGCAGGGAAAAGCAGATTAAGAGAGAGTGGAGCCTTGAAATCACCATAATAAGTGGATGAGTAGGAAGATGGGGAGGAATAAAATCAGAAAGAGTGGGTAAAAATAGAGACTAACCAAAAGAAAAAGTCTAACCACAATACTAGTATAGAGGATGCCTGACTTCAGGGTGGTAGTCAAAGATTTTCTGGATCTAGATCGGTCCATAGACTTTCATGGTGGTGTTCCTTAGGCACCTGATGGAGCCGTTGAGATTTGACTCAGTAGACAGAAAACTCTTCTTTGCACATGAAGGCATGCTCTTTCTTTGCTTAGAATAGAGGGATGCACTCTTTGATTCATCATGAGGAGGCCTCAGTGTCTTTCCAAAGATAAGGTCTTAGCAATACCCACACATCCCACTTTGGCTTATTAGTTAGATAATCAAAGAAGGGGGAATAAGAAAATAAGTACCTGACTTGGTATAACCAAATTTAACAAAAATATTTAACAGTTTTTAGAAGATGCTATATAGTTCTAGAAACTATATTATACTAGTAAGATTCATTTTGAATCAAATGTTGCATTTTCTTTCATTTAAGACAATCATTTGGTTTACTTTTAATACTTTTGGTCAGTTTCTACTGCAGACTTTGAACCAGTAACGTTCAGCACTGAGGCTTGGGTGACAACACAAGGTAATAACACATTGTGATCCTCCCTCAATGCTTTTCCTTCCCATTGTCAGGCTCATTTCAACAACGTGGTAGCTACAGGTTCTTTTGTTTCTTAAAGCTGCATTGGCATTCTTTCTTGTCACTCTTTTATATTCTTCATCTTAAACGTATTGAAGATTTCGATTCTTAAAACAAGTTATACCTTGTTTCTCAGAGAGCCATGCATGAACCTAACTCAAGTCATCTGTTATGCATATAACCATCTGAAATTGTTTTATCATTTTGTGTGTTTTTTTCACCAATGTTTTGTTAAAGCTGGTTTAAAATCAATTATTTTGAATCTAACAACTATTATGGTGTCCAGGAGTTTCTTTGTGGATCTAAAGATCTACTTTTTAAAAAACTATGTGATATTTGTTCTTTGATAGACATTTTTGTTGATTACTGGTCTTATTTAGTAAAATGTCAAAGTTTGTATTTGGGTATCACCACCACAATAATATTTTAGCAGTGATTCTTACCTTTTTATTCAGCAGAAGAGTCATAAAAATGATTCTTCACTTCTTGAGTTAATAACTTAATTTTATATATGACTTGTTTCCAATGAATTTCCAATTTTAAAAGACTAAATACTATTATTATAATAAGGGTGAAAATTTTAAATTAAAAAGTTAAAAAGAAACGTTTCCTAAAGTATGAGAAAATCTAATAAGTTTTAGGAAATTGAGAGCCACGCATCATGCTAACCATAACTTCTGAACTACAGACTCCATAGTAACTGAAGGTTTTCTTTCTTCAGCTCCTAAGCCATCAAAACGGACCCGTCGTCCACGTCCTAAACCTAAAACCACACCAACTACTGAGGCACCTCAAACCAAACTGGGTAAATGTGGGTTTCTGGTTAAAGGACTGAGTCCTAGCAGCTTTGGGGAGCCTAGGATTGATGTCCATGGGTGGGAGTGATAGCCCATGTGAGCCTTCTGTGGGTGAAGGCACAAGGTGATCTGCTGCTGCTCCCACTGTTGAGTTAGTAAAGGAAATCATGGTTGGGGGAGAGCTGTGTGGCAGCTGAATTCCTCGTTCTTCCTGCATAAATATTTTCTCTTTTAATAGATATTTTATTTACTTTTTCTTATTACATTATATTCTTCTATTAAAGACAAAATATCTTAAATAGAACCAAGCATTTTTAATTGAAGAACCAAACATTAAGTGCCTTTCATCCCTCTAGAGTCACATCAACAGCTGTGAGGATATCACAAAAGTAGGCAGCTTGTTTTTATTTCTTGTCCGTGGCATAGTCAAAGTCAAAACCTACCCCAATATGAAACATTCAAAGATTGAACCAAGGCAGTGTGTCTGTGCAAATCTAGCTTGATCTTTCTGCGGAGGCTCTGAACATCTGCAGAGAAGGAGAGAAGCCTGTGAAGGACAGGAGTAAGGAATTAGAAACAAGTTGGGTCTTAAAATCATGAAAATGAACAGGCAGAATAAAGGGGGTACAGAGGCCAACCAGAGGCATGGGCTTCTGGAAAAAGGGGGCCCTGCTTCTAAATGGTGATGATAGTGCTGTGTTTGGAAGGGTCCACAAGAGTAGTAAAAGAAAAATCCTTGAAGTTATGACTCAGAAGTTTGGATCTGACCCTACAAGTATCATAGGATACCACATTTTTGTGATCAGAGATGTGCTCCATTGGGCACCACACACTGAGTGAATGTGCCTTATCCTGATTTGTTGGGTGCCTAAACTAAGTTTGAGCCTATTTCCAAATTTGAGTTTTCAATGAGATGAACATGGTTCACTTTGCTTTATTCTTTATTCTTCTTTCAAACATAAATGCTATTTATTATATGATTCTTAAAACCTGCTATTTTCTTAAAGCTTCCACAGATATACCAACAAGTGCCAGAATAGTTACCTAAATATATCTATATATATAAAAGCCTAAGCAACCATTCAACCATTTGACCATTCAACCATCAAGGGGCAGACACTCAACTCACTGACCACCGGGGGCAGATGCTCAACACACAGGCATGAAAACATGGAATAGACTGATAAATCTCAGAGGAAAGGGGAGAGGGGGAGGGCGGGAAGAGATTAACCAAAGATCTTATATGCATACTAGAGGCCTGGTGCACAGATTCGTGCACCAGTGGGGTCCCTCAGCCTGGCCTGCCCAGATTAGGCCAAAATCAGCATCCGAGGGGTCCCGGATTATGAGAGGGCACAGGCCCGGCCAAGGGACCCCACCAGTGCATGAATCCGTGCACCAGGCCTCCAGTATTTAATAAAATGTTTAAACAAGTTTCTAAGAGCAATAGTTAGAATTAGGTACTTACAAGTATCATGTTGACTTTTTGAGATACTTACTAGATTTGTGTTAGGCTATGACTGACTATCTCATAAAAGAACATTTACCTGGCTATAGGGTGGCTGAGCCTTTAAATAACAAGTATTTAATTTTAGAAAAACATTTAAAACTGCTGTACACCTCTTAAAGCAGTATTATATGTGTAAGATTTAATTTGCTGACTTTCACAAGTGTTTATTTCATTGCTTTTTGATTAGTTCCTATTACAGATCTTGAGCCTGGTACTCCTAGAACTGAAGCTCCAGAAATCATAGGTAATGAGAATGTGTGTCCTTCAAATAGTGCTTTTCCTACTCATTGTCATACCATTGTAGTAACAGGTTCTCCTTCATCTTAAAACCATCTCAACATCTGTTGTTAATCCATTAGTCTTCATCTTGAAATTATGCTAAGCTCTATGTCAAGCTATCTGTTGGATTTATGAGAACTGTGCGTAAACTAATTTCAGGACATCAAACTGCCATGTAACTTCTCAACATTGTGTCACATGATCATGTGCATTTCTCTTTCCAGCTTCATTTCAAGCATGAATTTCCATCCATTCCTTACTTACACTGCTTATGTCACATCAATTCTGGAAATACCACATTTCTTTGCTCATATTATTTTTTATTATATTTTATTGTATTAGTGTCTCTGTGATTATACTGGTGGATATATTATTTCAATGAATAATATTTTTAGTTAATTGTTAAGATTTTAAATGTGCTAAGTCTTGAAAGTTTAAATGACAAGCTTATATGACAGAGTAGACTGACTCTTCTGACAGGGTTTAAAAATGTTTCTTAACTTATTGAATCAAGGACCACTTTAAAATTTTGATGAGCACAGTCGATTTAATATGCATTGATCCTTATGTTTTCAAACATATGAACTCATAATTGTACTGTGGTTATTTAAGTACTAGACAAAAATAATAGGCACTTATGTCAACTTGTACAGAGGGCAAGTAGACTGATAAAGGCTTTTCCCAGTAGAGTTAGAAAAGTATATATTATACAAATGTGCAAAAAAATCTTGTCCAGGAGAGTTTTCCATATTAGCAAGAGTCGTATAATCAAACATCTTGTTAACCATAGTATTTAGTGGAGTACAATGCTATATCTAAGGAGATTAATGGGTACTTGGCCATTTGGTCAAACCTGCAAAGAACAAGTGTCTCTTTTCTCTCAGTTCTGAAGTTTAAAAATTGACCTCTGAAATTAGTCATCAAAAGAATTTTTAAAATTTCTTTGGCTTATTCTATTATTTTTGGCCAGTTCTTCCCACAGTCCTTCAACCTGTTACTCTTACATTACATAATGATATTCTGTGTTTCTTATCAACTTTTCTGCCCATTGTCAACCTATTCCATCATCATCATAATCAAATTGTCATCAGCTTCAAAGGACTGTCTTGTCATCCTCTGCTGTCTTTTGACTTTATTTTTCTTCTTCTTAAAAGTATTGCAGATTCACCCTAGCTAGGTTTGCTCAGTGGATAGAGTGTTGGCCTGTGGACCAAAGGGTCCAAGGTTTGATTCCAGTCAAGAGCATGTACCTCAGTTGCAGGCTTCTCCCTGGCCCAGGCCCTGGTCAGGGCTCATGCTGGAGGCAACCGATTGATGTGTTTCATATCTATGCTTCTTTCTGTCTTTCCCTCTCTCTTCCACTCTCCCTAAAATTCGATGGAAAGATATCCTCGGGCAAGGATTAACCAAAAAAAAGTATTGCAGACTCTTAAAAGAAGTTACCTATTTTTAAAAGCTATTCATGGACCTAGATTAGAATGTTTGTGTTATTTGAATTTTTTTCATGTACTTTTGTCTAAACAGTACTCACATATATAGCTAAGTTTCAAATGCAGTGGGTAATGTCTGTATCTTCTCTAGACTAAACTAAACATAACAATTGGTATAGTTCCATGGATTCCTTGGCATATTTAAATTTCTTGGTGTGAATTTAAGACCACACAACCTACAGTTTGGCTATAGTCCTTACCTTTTTTCGAAGTTAAGACTCTTCACTCCTTGACTTAATTTTATGTATTTTATCTCTCAAGATTCTTTAGTAATTAAAAGAAATTAACAAAATAGGAGAAAATATTTTAATCTTAAAAGTTATATAACTTAAATTTCAAGGAAATATAACATATTTTAGAAAATCAAGAGCCTTATTTCCAAAACCACCTTCACTAGAGTAATCCAAAATTTCTTCCTTCAGTTCCTAAAACACCACAATGATCTCATCTTCCACATCCCAAACAGATTTTCCAAAGCAAGCTTTCATATTAATTAAGAGTCAGAAAATCAAACACCTTGGAAAACCTCATGTTGACCATAATAAGATGTTTAACTGAGTTCAAGAGTTGTGACTACTTTCTGCAATGAATTATTCCTAGCTACAGTTTGACCAAAACTTCAAAAAGAAACTATTTACTTATTGTCCATTCAAAGGTTTAAAAAAATTATTTGTCATTTGAAACTAATGTTTTGAAGGAAAAATTAAGGCTTTCTATGTGTGTTTAAACTTTCTCATTTTCATGTTGTTGCTTTTGGTTAGTTCCCACTACAGACTTTGAACATGTTATTCATAGTTCTGAGGCTCCAGGAACATTAGGTAACAATTTTTATTACCTCATTAAACATATTCTTGCTCATTAAAACCCATTCCATCACTGTCACAGCCAGAGTTGCTCTTGCTTCCTTAGACTACTATTGATTGTCATTCCATTTCATACTTCATCATATAAGTAGTCAGGATTCTTTATTCCAGTGTTACCTATTGTTTTTAACAAATGTCCTTGGATCCAGTTGAGGAAATCTATCTGGTATGAAACCCCCTTTAAAATTTTATTATATGATTCAGTGAAGAGTCTGAAGATCAAATTGCTCTCCTTCTATTTGGTATTTAAATCTATAAAACAATGTCATCTAAGTAGCATGAACTTTCTCTGAACAACTTTACTTTCTACAAGGTCTGTTTGATATTCTCATTACTCTTTTCCTATTTTAAGGAATGAGGATTCCTTATTGTATTAAATTATCAAAAAATGTTGCCTCCTGGAAGTGCCAATTCTAATAAATATAAGTTACAGGCTCTGCAAACTTTGATAAATTTGGCTATTCATTATTTTCCACCACAGTATAGCATTGTTCTTAATCTAAGTAGAAATTTCTCTGATTATGTAGAAATTTCTCTAAGTAGAAATTTCTCTAATTATGCATATTAATATTTATTCCTTTAATCAATAAATTTTATCTATTAAATTGGACTCTAAAGGACCTTCAGTGATGATAAGGAACAAATTATGTTAGTATAATGGATTTTTTCGCACTTCAGAAATAAACTCAAGAAACTGACTAATATGTTTTAGAAAACATAGGTCCTATGTATAATGTTGGTGGTTGTTTCTAGACCTTCAAACACTATAGTAATCAAGATCTTCTTTCTTTATTTTTAAAACAATGGGAGGGGAGAAAAATCCTCCTCTCAAACTTGCATCTTCCTGAAGCTTCTCCGTTAAAAACAAGAAAATCTATGGTTTCTGGTTTAAGAGTCCTTCCAGCCCATTGCAGTCGGGCCCCAGGAGTGACAAATAGGTGTCTTGCTAACTTGCACTTCTCACCTCTATGCCTTCTAAATACGAAGGTGAAAATAATGGTTAGCATGTCTACAACTGCAGGGTTGACCAGAAGGCTCATGGTTGGGAGACCTATGTGGTAGCCAAATTCGTCATGTGCCCTGCATAAGGATTGTCTCTGACAAAGGATGTATCTTATTCAATTTTCTTACTATTCCATTTCATTCATCTCTTTTTAAAAAGTGCTGCTTCTTTGGTTTATGTAAACAAACATTTCCTTGGCCTATGTGCTCTCGGCACCATATTAGCAGTTGAGTGGGGTGGGGTGGGGAGCTGAACAGAGATGGAGATCAAAATAAGAGTGTGTTTTACCTTTTGAACAGATGATAATATAATTATGAAAAAAACCCTGTTCTAGAGGGTTTTTTTAGATATTAAGACAATTTGCTTATACAAAAGCAGCTTGTTTAATTGAGTGGTAAAAATATGCAGAGGAAATATTTAAAGGAGTCAAGGATCTATGTTAAAACATAGTTGGACTTTGAAATAACTTTAGGATTTGAATTAGTAGATGGAATGGAGGGAACAGCAAAAATAAAAAGTCTCACCCCCTACTGAGGGTACCCAAAAGGGCAGTTAAACTGAAACAGAACAAAACACTGTTAGGTGATACTGAGCATTATGTTAATGATACTATTATGAAATCAGCTGTAGGAAGCTCTTAAAAGCCCTTGTGGGAATTCAGATTCAGATGCAATAATTAACGATAACCTGATTCTTTTCAAATAGGCTCTTGCTTTTTCTAGAAGGATGCTTTAGGTCAGGGGTCAGCAAAAATTCTTATGTGAAGAATTAGTGAGTATTTTAGACTTTGCAGGCCATTCAGTCTCTGTCACAACTACTCAATTCTGCAATTTAGCCTGAAGGCAACCAAAGCCAATATGTAAATGATATGTAAATATGCCTTGAATTATCTTAGTTTGTGGATGTGTCTTTGTTCCCATAAAACTTTATTTGAATTTCATACCTCTTTTACAAGTTATGAAATATTACTGTTCTTTTAAATATTTTCCATCCTTTAACAATGTACAAAACATTCTTAGCTCACAGGCCAAGCAGAGGAGGGCCATAGTTTGCCAGTTTCTGCTTTAAATAATGCATAGTCTGCATGAGCTCTCCATCATCCTGCTATTTTGAGGGTCTATGCATTTCAGTTCATTGCTGCCCTTGTCTAAAACCTATGAAATAAATTATACATAATTGACAACTTAGATCCTCTTCTTTCAGCTCCTACTGATCTTCAAACTCTTATTTTGAGACCAGTGACATCACCAAGTCTAGAAATGACACAAAGTCAACCTGGTAAATAGATTGTTTTATTTATCTGGATATACTGTGAGCTTCAAGGGATAAACTTCAAGGGTTGTATTTCCAAATATGGAAAAAAACACAAAAAAGAATGCACATTTAACAACTCTCTCTACATATTGTATGATGCTCTTTCCATGATTGTATATTGGTGTTAACTTGGTAATGCATTAAGTTTATGTTATGTTACTCAACAGTGTAGAAAAACTTACCTTATTTCACTGTTTGCTCTGTTTCATTTTAGATAATAATCATGTATATGATTAAGTAATCCACAAAACCACTTAAAAGAACTGATTTTATTCTTTATCCTTAGTTTTCACTAACAGCTATGAATTTGTGGTACGGTTCAGCAGTAAGCTTGATTCTGTTCTGTGAAAAGAATGCTAGTTCAATTGTGACCATCAAGGAAGGAGAAAGTTCTCCCTTCAGAAAAGATAAAAAACTTCACTTATACAACATAAACCTGAACTTATCGCCTTCAAAATTGAAAACTAAATTTTTAAAACATCCTTAGCAATGCTGTTGTTACACCCTAACATTTATCTTGAAACATTGGATCTTATTTTTTATAGCATAGGATAGTAATCTTATTCATCTCCTTTGTGCATCTTTTAATTAGCTAATGGCATTTGAGTACTCATGTTGGCAGTACAAGGTATGGTTGTTATTGGTAACCTACAACATTTATGCAATTGTGAGTTCAATTCAGTTATCAGAGCTTCTTTTGGTTTTAGTAATAACGTATTATCATATCGGCTAGCATGGAGCAGTTATAGGTGCAAGGCACTTTTCTAAATAGTTTGTATTCATCCATTCAATGTTCACAACAACCCATAGTGATCAATTGTATCATCCTGTGTTGTTTTTTACTAGTTTCTGAAGGCCTGGAATTTGTTACATTTAGCACTGAGTCATCAGAGGGAACTAGAGGTAAAAATGTTTCCTAATTGGAAGTCAGGTATATGTGCTTTCTCCATCTCATTGTGGAAGTCCTCTTTGAATGCCCTCATGCTTTGTGACATTTCATAGCTCTTCACACCTTGTCTGTGCTCATCTAGTGAGTCTTGAAAGTCAAACATTATATAGAGAACAGTGTGCTGATGTCTGCTCTACTGCTATGCAAGTTTCACAATTTCCTTATTTAGTTCTCTCAGTCGGAATGCAAATTTTACATTTTTATGTCCTGATCACTCTTTCAATATAAATATGCACAATACACTATTTTTCATTTTAATATCGTTTGTAGTATTCATCCTCATGCTTCCCAAGGACTCATTCTATGTCTTTTTTTCACTAGAATTCTTTTAAAAAATGTAAGGAAGTGAAACAAGCTGCTTTGCTCCAGGTAGAAACTGCTGTTGTGTGTGTGTGTGTGTGTGTGTGTGTGTGTGTGTGTGGTGTGTGTGGTGTGTGTGTGGTGTGTGTGTTGTGTGTGTGTGTGTGTGTGTGTGGTGTGTGTGGTGTGTGTGGTGTGTGTGTGGTGTGTGTGTGTGGTGTGTGTGTGTGTGTGTGTGTGTGGTGTGTGTGTGTGTGTGTGTGTGTGGTGTGTGTGTGGTGTGTGTGTGGTGTGTGTGTGTGGTGTGTGTGTGGTGTGTGTGTGTTTTCCCACATTGCCTTTATTTCCTGCTTTCATTCTGCCATCTTAAATTGTAGTCATCTTCATAAATCACCTAAATGTTATTCTCACAGATGTACCTAGTAATCTTTGTTTTCACATTAAGCAATATTCCATTAGAGTGCTATGGGCTGCCCACCACTAACCAGACATTCCCTGTTTCCTCCCTAGCATCAGCCGAGACAGATTATGTAGATCCCACTTCCAAAGCACCACTCAGGCCAGAGGAGCCAAAGACTGAAGGTGGTAAAGGTTTTCATGCTTTGATTCGTTTAATTAAACAATATTTAGTTCACGTATATTATGTCCATGGAACATGGAACTTCAAGCTGCTGTACTTGTTCTTCAATTGAATAGATTTGAAGAGCTATAGCTTCCAAATTTCTTGGATTCTTAACATGATAATAGACTCTCTGAATACAGAAATAGATTTCAGTTTCTCTGCAGTATCTAAATATTGAGGCATAATAACAATTGACAACCAGTTAATAACAGTTAAAACATAAATATTAGTTGGAGGGTTAGTTTTATAGTATAGAATTTCCACTCTTGGTTCTGTTTTTTCTTGCCTAAATTCATTGTCCTATCTGTAAAAATATGATGCAAAATCTTAAGAGAATGAGATGTGTTGATACTAAAGAAAAATACTTGACTATAGCTGGATGTCTGACAATTTTTAAAATTGTTCTCCTTTTTTGATACAGTTGTGGAATCTATTACAAATGTGTCTGAACCACCCGAGACCACGTTAGGTAATGACATACCTAAGCAGCTTTTGTCCTCATTGCCACCATCATCTGAGAACCTCAGGTTCTCTCTCATTGTGAATTCATGTTGCAACATCATTTCTAGATTCTTCTATTTATAACCATTGTCCAAGAAGTCTCTTTGTTCATTCAGTTTTGTATTGAGACCTGGTCTCTGTCTCTACTTTAAGTCAGCGAAACCAGCAAATCTAAAGCATCTTTTCCCTAACATTGCATATTCTGCCAGCTTGATGTTGTGTTGAATATTTCAGATAATGTATTTTGTATAATGATCCATTCATACTTTCTACCCTGGCAACACATTTTCCGTTAACACTCATTCCATCATGTTCATTTGCATGTTTGATGTTTTCTCCGTTATTTAAGTGAAAGTCAATGCTTCTTGAATTGGCTTAGCTTTATTTATCACTTTTTTTATTACTTTGTTTTTCCCTTTATGGTTACTACGGAATATATCTTTCTAGCATTGTTGAGGAGGTACTAGGGTGAAGGGAAAATTTTAAAAATAAGGACATTACTTACTTTGATGTATTTTTCCAAGCATTTTTTTAAAACTAAGCATTATGAAGAAAGAGGAATGCTATTTTTGCTGCAGAGTTGCAGTTTCTTTAAAAAAAAAAAAAGTCTACTTGTTACCATCATTTCTGTCATCTGTACTCAAGGTGTGCGAAGCACCATGGTAACCTCGGTTATTCTCCTTTAATGCGCATAGAAGCATCAACTCTGCCTTCCCAAACTGTAATCCTACTCAGCCCAAATGAGCCTCAGACTGGACCGGGTAAATACATTATTTTGTACTTGATGTAGAAGGTGAGTGTTTGCAGAATGTAAGAATGGAAAGGTAACAAGGGCACTGCTTGACGTTGGAAGCCCCACCTTCATCACTCAGCTCACAGTTGTCACTGCCCCTCTTCTCATCTATCCATCACTTGTAGCGTCACGTGTTGTGAATAGTCTTTACGGTGTGGCTGAAAAACACCTTTCAGCTGCTGTGCAAGTGTTTAACGTGGGAAATAGTAATGTTTCTGGGGAAGACCACTTATATTCCATTTAAATATAAATAGATATCCTAATTTTAAGTACTTAATCATCTTGACTAGTTTTACAAGTTCTGTGGTCACATATTAACAGAAACAAGTTTCACCACACAATCCAGATAAAAGGTATTACTGGCCTGTCACCTTGTCATTATCTGGTCCTTTACTTCTTTCCACTCCTTCCTGCAGTGGTTTGACCATTTCACTGCATGCAAATAAGAGAAACTGAAATCAAACCAGTGACTTTGAAAAATCATAAAAGGTTTACTTGATGGTGGAGTTGGAAATTAAGGAAAACAAGTCATTAACATCAATAACTAAATATGCTTCTGATTATAAGGAAAAGCCCTCTCAATATTTATAGACTCTCTTGGAATAGGAGTTTATTACAAATAAGTTCAAACTTGTGTTTTGATTGCCATCTGACTTTTTATATGGCTCTATTTCCAAAGATAGAGCTATTTATTTTACTCATTGTTCACAGAAACATCCTATTAAATATTGAATCTGTGTAAGTTATCTCAAGCTTTTTGAAGTTTATTGTTCTTAATAGCTGCAATAATTAAATTATTGAAATGTTTAAATGTGAATACTATTAGTGATTCTTATCTCTTTCTGAATCATTTTTGCCGCATGATATGCCTTTACCTGCAAACTATTTTTCCTATTCCCTGGAGGAAGCAAATAGCCTGTCAGGAACCTCAGCAAGCAAGGAAGTTGGGAAATCATAAAACTGAAAGAAGCTCTAGAATCAGAGAATCTTAGAATTGGAAGGGCTCTTTAAAAATTCTGTACCTTTGCATGCATATTAGCATAACCAATGAACACAGACACTGGGGTGGTGGGGGCTTGCCCAGGGTAGGAATGGCTTGGTAGGGGAGTGGGGGTCAGTTGGGGAAAAAGGAGACATATGTAAAACTTTAGTCAGCGGTTCTCAACCTGTGGGTCGAGACCCCTTTGGCAGTTGAACGACCCTTTCACAGGGGTCGCCTAAGACCATCCTGCATATCAGATATTTACATTACGATTCATAACAGTAGCAACACTACAGTTATGAAGCAGCAACGAAAATAATTGTATGGTTGGGTCACAACATGAGGAACTGTATTTAAAGGGCCAGAAGGTTGAGAACCACTGCTTCAGATGAATAAATAAATAAATAAATAAATAAATAAATAAATAAATATTCTGTACCTTTTGATGGAGATCCTGTGGCTGTCACCCAGTGATTAGCAAAGGGAGCTCTAACACTCCAGGTTGCAGGCTCCTAAACGAGTGTAAACTCCAACATATCCTGGTGTTTATCTCTCTACAGGCAAGAAGATTCCACTAAGACCATTGCATGCCTTGCATATTTTGACTTAGTTTCCTGAGGAAGTCTCTGCAGACTCTAGAAACTTCTAGTATCTAATAGTTCTTATTTTCAGCAATCTTTTTGCAAGGTACCTGGAACTCCCTATCCTTGGAAAACATTTTGTTTATTCTTACCCTCTTACACCAGATACACTTTAGTCCAACTAAATGAGATGTTTCCACAAACTGCAACCTTGCATTTGATAATTCCTTTTCCCCAGCAGCATAGACTGTTCATCTCCTTGGTGAAGAAATAATTGGTTTTTATACCGAGTGTCCTAGAACGCCTTTGGGAATTGCCCAGCGAAGGAATGACTTTCTTCAGTAATCTTTTGTTTTAATTTCTGTTCAATTTCTCTTCCTCAGTATGACCAATAAAAGTTATTTTCTTTAATAAGATTAATTTTTCCATCAGCACTTGCTACTAAAATACATTCATTTTTTCTAGGTATATTTGGAATGTGACATGCTAACTTTTTTTTTAAAGAAATTGTATCTATTTGCACTCAAAATATGTATTATACTGGGATAATCTGATAAAATGGTGTAAACGTGTAAGGATGAATACTTGTTATTATGAAATTTATTTTAACCTGTTTAAAAGGTACTTAAAGTAGATGTTTCTAGAATTCTAACAGCTTCATTTGCCAGCTGAATATCTTGGATATCGTTTAATGTTCCCTCTTGTTTTGTTTTCTGTCGTAACAAGAAATTATCTTCCTATACTTCGCAGCTGTTTGGAAGATTTAACTGCATGAATTGCTGTGTATGTAGCTCATCAGTCACTCGACAAACATCTCTGAGAGCCTAGAGCAGTGGTCGGCAAACTGCGGCTCAGGAGCCACATGCGGCTCTTTGGCCTTTTGAGTGTGGCTCTTCCACAAAATACCACGTGCGGGCGCGCATGTACAGTGCGATTGAAACTTCGTGGCCCATGCGCAGAAGTTGGTATTTTGTGGAAGAGCCACACTCAAGGGGCCAAAGAGCCGCATGTGGCTCGCGAGATGCAGTTCGCTGACCACTGGTAGAGGCTGTTAAATAACTGTGATTCTTGCAAAAGCTCAAGAGCTCCAAGCCTTATGTCCTTTCTTTTAGCTCCCAAGCAGCCAGCGCGCACTCCTCCCAAAGCAAAAACATCTCCACGCCCAAGAGTCCCTCAGACACAGCCAGGTAAATACATATTTTACATTCTAGCCTGAAAAGTTTGATGTTAGTGAAGTTGTTCTGCTGAATTATTGTGAGTTGGGTTTTTTAACCCTTGTAAAACAGGTCTTCCATTGAAACCTGATAAATATTTACATTTACTTTTATACTGAAAAGTGTATTATTGGAATAAGTTATTCCAGAAAGTTCCCTAATATTGTATTATTTTGAGTGGGGGATGGAGAGGAATGGAATTTCTTAAGAGTAACCTGTCTACTCTCTCTGCCTTTTCCAGCTTGAGAATTCCTAATGCTTCCATGGTCCTTGAATGGGCCTCCTCTTGCCAATCACCTAGTTTTGTTTTTTTTAAGTTTTCAGTAGATTTTATTTAGCATTAATGTCATGAAGAATAAACATATATGTCCTCTCCAATAACATAACAATTATATTATATTGCTTTGGTTGTTATGCTGTAAAATTTTGATAAGGACCCAAATAAGATTCATTATAAACTATTTTTTATTCTGTTCAAGAAGCTCTCATTTGAATGTTTAACTCTAACCCAACTCTTAACCAACTCTTCTCTAATTTCTCCAACTACCTCAGCCAATCTCCATGTTGGAATACCATAAACTCAACATGCCTCAAAGAAAGCTTATTGTTTTTCCGCCTTTCCGTTACACCTGTGACAGGTTCTCACCACTTTATATCTGATTCTTACCTCTCTTTCTCACCCAGCCTCTGTAGCTCATCTGTTACTAAGTATGGGACATTCTAGCATTGGTGCCTTCTCCTCGCATCTACCCAGTCATGCCTAGTCTATTGTCATCGATCAACTGATCTCCTGTGTCTCTTCTCTTCTAATTTCAAATATGTCACCCCTTCATGCTGAAATGGTTGTTTAATTCATTTAATCATTCAACAAATATTTATTGCATTCTGACCATGTGCCAGGCAATGCACTAAACACTAGGAATGTGAAACAAAATCGAATCCTTCCGTGGTGAAGGAAGTTACAGTCTAGGCCAGTCACCTAAATTTAAATTTGTCATTTATACATGGTCTGCTTCCAAAAATGGGAAAGGAAAACGTTAGCAGGTAGCAGTTCTGAATTCCCACCACAAATCCTTTAATCATAGCTCAGTATTCCTATTGAAAGAAAAAACTATATATTTGGGCATGGTCTTTAAGGTCTGATTCTGAGAGAAATTTTACCTGTTACTTTTTTCTTTAAAAGGAAATTCCTTAAAAGTAGATTCTATGTTCACATCTAGCTCATTTAAATCTGCTTTAATGTACTTTAAAATGTGTATGATTTAATTACTAAAACTTTGATATGAAAATAATATGGGTATGATACATAAGTATATGAGGGTAACAAGTCAACAATCTCTTCATAGAATGAGAAATTTAAAATAATAACAATAAATACATGTGTAACATTAATATATAAGAAATACTGGGGGAAAGAATTAGTGATTAATGAATAGAATAGGAATAAAAAACAAAGCAAGTAGATTAAATTTATGCATAGGAAACCGATATCTAATTTTAAAAATAAATCAATTCAAATCACATGAGGATTCTCTCAATTTTTTATTTGAATATAAAGCATAGAACAAAAGTAACAGAAAAAGGAGAAATGGAAATAAATAAGAAAGCATGAAAGTTTAATGAATGTTGAAAAATAAGAGTAGAGATGAAAAATAAGTGCTTGGAGTTAAGACATTGGGAATATAGATTCCTGGTTAGTAAAATTAACAAAAAATAAAGGAGATATTAAGTAATAAGGAAGACATTCATAATTTTCTTTTTGAGCTGTACTCTCTACATATAGAAATATGGAATAATAAATTAGCAGCTTACTCTAAATTTCCATTATTATACTATATTCAAAGTTTCAAATTTGTTTGATTTGGACCATTAGCCAAGCTTCCTCCACAAGATATGCAGCTTCAGAACAATAGAGTCATAAGCTCAATGCATTACACTCTCTGCATCTGAAACCCTTGAGTGGCTGCCAAACAAGCAACAGAGCCTCCTGATTCTGTCCCAACTCAGGCAACTAATTCCCAATCCATTAGCATCTCCCATAGAAAATAGCTGCAATCAAATATGTCTGGCTTTGCTGGTGATACTTAATGCAAGGGAACAATTTGTAAAATTGGTCGGGAAAAACAAAATACATTCTAATTATTCCTCTTAAAAGTGGATGAAATTAGGCTCTCTTACCCAAGAGAACATGATCTAACCTAATAAATCCCAGTAATATCCTGGTTTTATAGTCTTTCAAGAATGCTTATGTATGTATTCGTATGTATTACTAAATATTTCAAAGACAGATATTCAAATTCTAGTACTTCCCCTCTAGCCCTTGGCTAGCTCTTTATGGACTCCAAAAGGCTTTTGGGGTAGGAGACTGTCCTGCTCACATGTATAATACCAAATGCAAATTACTATTGTTGGGCTGTAAGGGTATCATCTGACAATAGTGTATACACATGTGTTCATCCACCACTTTTTTAGGATGAAATTCTTTAAATGGACATGCCAGCTTTCTTCTTATTTATACATGAATTATGTTTATAAATTAGATGGCAAAATTTAAATCTATATTTGTCATTGAAGGCAAAGTGAGATAAAAAATTTGGAACAAATCATGAAGTATATTTTGTCATTAAATAAAGATTTGATTTTTGAATTTCTATATTCATAGGTAATACTTAATAATCCCATTATTAATTGTATACCTAGAAATCTTATAATCATCCAAACTATAGGTGTTCCTAGTTTTTGTAGGAGCAAAGTGAAAATTAGAATGTTCTCAGATCCCTCAATGTCAACTTTGTAAAGATTTTTCTAGAAATGGAAAAAAAATTTATAGTAGTAGAGTTTTCACATCACTCCCACATTTAATTCTCACAATCATCCTTTGAGTTAGCACAGATTTGTCATTTCCTCATAAAAATGAGAAACAAGTTAAAATGTGACATGCAGAACTTGGATATAGAGAATCCAAGTGTTTGGACCTAGTGATAATGTCTGGACCTCAGCTTTAGCTCAAGTCTTTTCTCTGGTACTTAATAACTATGTGACCTCAGGCAGATAGTCACCAACCCAAATCTTTAAAGTGAAGCTGATAGCTCCTTCCTCCCAGCATTTTGATAAGAACCAAAGGGCATAATCTTTATGAAAGCATTTTTGAAATTGTAAAATGCGCTATAAATAAATTAGGGTTTTTTCCTGGTATCTATTACATTAACACCTGTTACAAAGGAACAGTTGTAGAAAGACAATTTTAGTTTGCAAACATGTTCATTTAAAGGTTTATTTGGAACTGAAGAATTGCAGGAAGAACAGAGTGCCAGCCCACCCACTCCATCCCTTCCATGCTCACTTCCCTTTCTGCTGTGTCCTGATTTGACTTTAAGCTTCTCTTTTTCTTATTCATACTTCATGGGCTTCTACTCTGACTCATTGAATTCATCTTCAAAGGAGACATAGGCTATGTGTGTGGTGTGGGCGAGGGGTGAGAAGTCAAGCAAACATCTAGAAAAGAAGAATATTCTTTCATTAATTTGGTAATCTCTTCTGAAATGAAGATTTTTAAATGTCCTCCATCCTACCCTTATGCTTAGTCAAACTTTGCATTTCTTAGATTTCATTTTCTACAAGCATCTGGAAATCTAACTGATCTATTTTTAGAGCTTGAGGTTTATTTTTCTATCTACCATTTTCCAATTTTTTTTTATTGTCAGGCTTACACTTTGTCAAATCTTATGTGTTCAGCATGACCAGGAGATGCTGACAGAACTCATGATCTGAGTTCTCTCTTTCAGCTCCTAAGGTGTTCCAGCGTGTTACTTCAAAACCAAAAATGTCACCAAGGCCAGAAGTGTCATATACTCCACCTGGTAAATGTTTTATTTCATATTTGAGCCAAATGCATTCTATTGTCACACTCTGCTGCAATGAGACATAAGAGCTCATTGGATATGAGGTCAATATTTCACTTATGTTCAGATATCATGTTGTATCATACATGGCACGATCATTTCAAAGGTTTCATAAGACTTCTCTAAGTGCTCATATAGTAAGCTATTTAAACAATCAAAAAGCAGAGACTTATGCCAAGAATAAAATGTTTCTTTTAGAACTAAAGTTCCCTTATCTTCTGCCTTACCAAAAAAAAAATGACCTGCCAATACTAATTCTGCTGTATTCCAATGTTCCACCAAAATAAGATAAAGAATTCAAAATTTTTCCCCCAAAAATGATAAAATTATGTTTTTACAAACAAAAGAAATGATGTTTAACCATTGGGTTTAGAAATTTAACACTATCCAGCACTGAGTGTTTGTTTGTTTTTTCTGTCAAATTCTTTTACCAGTTCATGGAGCAATAGCTTGAGTTCAGAAAAATAATTGTTACACACACACAAAATAAAGATTTTTTTTAGCTATAAATTTATATCTTGCCTATCACTTGAGAAGGCCTTTGGTCCATTTATGAGGAATAATCTCATATTTGCGGGAGTAGCCAGGGTGGGGACTGCAAGGATCAGACCTTTTCTGGGTCTCGCCACCAGTGCTCCAGGTATTCAAGTGGCCTTAAGAACTGTTACCTGAACAGTTGTGTAATAAGCAAAACTAACACATTTTTAACTAGAGTACCTGGGAAATACTATCAGTTTTTTCTCTTTCTTTTTAAAGATCCAATTATTATAAATTCCTAGTGCTCCTAGAAGCATATCGACCATTCCCAGGACCAAAAGTATTTCTAATCTGTGTCTTGAAATGATGGCATTTTGGAAGCAAGTCTGAATTCAGTTGCTGTAGTGTTTTCAGATTGTGAGTGGGAGGAGGGTGTTGTTGCTAGGGAATTATCTGGTTGTTGCAGGTGGTGGTAGGCTAGGGAGGGGCTCCTTGGCCCTGAAGCCTGGAATTTAAATTTGTATCACTAAACCGGTAGCCAACATTGTAAATGCCAATTGAACACACACACACACACACACACACACACACACACACACACACAACGGTGATCTTCCCACTTGCAAAAGATTGGCTTCTTATTTTCAATTGTGGAAAAAAAATGTAACAGAAATTGAGTTACTACAAATAACAGCAGTAGATCTGAGTGATATTACTCACTTTTCTTTTTCAAGAGAGAAAGCAATACTATTGGTCCTGATGTTACTTAATCTCATTAAACCACTATATCAAATGAACTTTTTTTTATTGTTTTAAAATGTCTAATATGTGCCTTAATTTTATGAAACACCTTCGTTTTCACAGAAATTCTAGCCTGTAAGTGAGCAGTGAAACAACAGCACAAACAGTTCCTGTGGAGCTTCCCTGGGGCTTACTCTGTTAATTCTCTAAATCCAGTCAACCAGTTAGAATTCTGTCTCTAGATCTGGTGTTGGTCCCACTGATCTGTATTCATCAGGGAGTTCCCTGGTGCTCCTGGGACGTGAGGCCTATAGGAATAATCATGAGGCAACTGTCACTATGTTTCAAACAAGTGTTCAAACAACCTAGATCCTGTTGTGTTCAGTTTCTGGGTTGTGTGTAGGCTCAGGTTTGCCTCCTGATGAACCCAAGACCTTGTTTATAGGCTCCTGTTGGTTATTTCCCCAAAACAGAGGTAAATTACATATGTACTTAATATTTACGGTTATCCTAGAGAAATAGATGCTCTGTAAAAGTCTAAAAAATGCAAAATGTGCTGAAATCAGGACAGTTATGTTTTATCGCAATGTTTACCTCAAAATTTATACTGAGAGCTATCAGCAGTAGCAAAGTTGAATTTTTAGACCTGGATCCGATAAGTCAGTCTAGGATTTTCTGGGAGCAAACCAGGAAGAAAATCTAGATTTCTGCAAGCTGTGCAATCCTCACAGCTGTTCTGCATAAACCACTCTTTGGGGCAAATTCTAACTTGCAGTCACACTGCAGCACGTTTGCAGTTAGGAAGTAAGGGAGTGATGCTGAAATGCCTTTGAGATGGAATTGCTAGGGCCTAGAACCCTAGCCAATGACTGATTGGTGTTAGGGAGAGAAGGATGGCCCTGCAGGAAAGAGTAAAGCTTGTATTCCGACGTGCTGGCTTTGCATGGCCAGTAGGATGTTCCAGTGGAAATATCTAACTGGTGGTTGACATGTATTTCAGGATATCTAAACAGAAGTCAAGATGTGGGATGTAGATTTGGGAGTCACCTGTATAGAAGGTTCTTAAATCTTGTGAGTGGATGACATCATCCAGGAGAAAGGACAGACTGAGGAAATAAGAGGTCAGACATCAAAGCCTTGGGCAACACAGTTCTTTATAGGAGGAGTGGGCAGAGGAGGAAGAGCCAGCAGACAGGAGAGTCCCAGGGAAGATGGATCAGGAGGTGAGGCAGGGAAGAGTGGTCAGAAGAGCTGCTGGATTTGATAGTTCAGGTGCTCAAACCTGTATCTGAAAACCATGGGCTGATGTTTTGGAATTCAGCAATTTTCAGGTTGCAAGCAATTTTCAGGTTGCAAGCATATTAATGTGTCTGCCGTGAGAAGTATGAAGAGTCATACTACACAAGACACATAAAAACTGCAAAGAGGCCAGTTCTAGTTAGGTTTTGCTGTGAAATGAGTTTGGTTGTTTGTTTGTTTTTAATTTTTCGGTTTCAGAGCATTTTGGACTTCAAAACCATGGGTGAGGAATCGTGCACGGGTCCATGGTTGTAGAAGGTCAGTGCAGTGGAAGCCAGACCACAGTGGATGGAGGAGATGTAATTGAGAGACCAGGATGCAGAGTCAGATAGAAGGTTTTGATTAAACCAGCGGTTCTCAACCTGTGGGTCGCGACCCCTTTGGGGGTCGAATGACCCTTTCACAGGGGTCGCCTAAGACCATCGGAAAACACATATATAATTACATATTGCTTTGTGATTAATCACTATGCTTTAATTATGTTCAGTTTGTAACAATGAAATTGGGGGGGTCACCACAACATGAGGAACTGGGTCGCAGCATTAGGAAGGTTGAGAACCACTGGATTAAAGGATGAGAGCAAGAGAGGGATGGTGTGAAAAAGGAGCCATGTCAGGGGATGACTTTTTAAAGACAGTGAGGCATTTGATCTGTTTTACAGGTAGAGAGAAAGAAATTGATGGACAAATGGAAATATGGACTATTGGAGAAAAATATAAAATAATAGAAATAATGAAAAGTAAAAGGTCCTGGAGACATGGGAGGGAGCGTGGCCCAAGACCCCAGGTTGAGCTTGGAAAGTGGCCTCCAAAATGGTAGGGAACCTGCTTCCTCACTGAATGGACCTTAGGGAACAAGGTCAGAATAAAGGGATAGAGAGCTGGAGGTGGAAGAGTGTGTAGCCTCCATGTATTACTTTGCTATGGGACCAGTCTCTTTGTAGCCTGTTGCAGGGTAAACCTTATTGCAGATTTCATATTTCGCCATCTTTGTCAGGGAATAACATTGATTCTCTCACCTGGCATAACATCCATGCACATTCATTTTCATTTGTCCATATTAGACATGTTCCTCTTAATTGTCGTGTGTTAGTTGAACTTTACTCTGGAGCGGTGCCCTTTATTCAAAAAGATAGTTCATTTCATTGATTGGTTCATAAATATACGTGTTAAGTTGGTTAATATAATTGAGTCCAAAATATGATAATGGTAAATATTCTTATAAGGAAATCAAAAGTGCCCTCTTAAAAAAAATTGTCATTATTTACATTGTTTCCCCCAGCATGGAAGGTTTAGGTTTTAGGCATCATGCCCTTTTTTAATGTAATACACAGAGGCATGCACATGGGGGAAAAGGAAAAAAACAACAACTTGCATTTCTTGAAGCTGCAACTGACCAAGCAAGAGAGTGATTCATAACCCTTTCCCATGAATATTTCTATATTTTTTCTCTCCACTGATTTTAGCTGCTTTAGAAAGCCTGCTGTGGCAGTTTATTAAATCATCACTTCATGGTCACCAAGTGCCAATCGCAGCAGCAGGAATCCACATTACCCCAGCCCAAATTCCCCAGGCAACTGAAGCAGTAGCGAGGAATGCATTTACAATATGGTGGATTCATTGGTTGCACATTTCTTCTGGGTCTCCTTTCCTTCATCCCAGCTCCCTCTGTATAGTCTAACACTGTAACCAATTAGGTTATTTATAAACTACTGGCACTTTGTATAGTCATGACCTTCACAGACCCAAATCCAAGTACCTTCTCCTTCACCCTCCAGATAAACATTTAGTTTGATTTATAACAGGAAATTCCTCATATTTTACCATTTGAATTCCCCCAAATACTACACAGCAAAGGTGAAACAGTCACTGTAATGATGGGTTTTCTCTAACTTTGACAACCACTGATCTTTTTGAATTTGTCTTTTTCCTTCAAAAAAATCCAGATTTTTTTAAATTCCCCTGGATGTTACCTTTTAGTTTATAGAAGTTCTAATTGAGTCAAGTTTCTTTCCAATGTACCAAATTCCACAACTGTAATTTCAGTGGTAGTTAGCTGCCTACACTAAGAACAGATGTGATATGTGCCTTAAATATGATCCCCAAAAGCAATAAAAAGTGAATGTCCATTTTATAAAACCTATTTTTATACTAATGGTAAAGTGGTGCTTGGCCACCTGATACAAAGGTTTTTTTCATTTTTCTCTGAGGCAGAGTTCTAGCCTGAACTCTAATTATTTTTCCCCAGCATCATATAAGATGCAAGAAAATTACAAAGGGACTCTGGTATTTATGAAATCTTCAGAGTGGCAGGAAAGAAAACCTTTCAGTGAGAGAGCGGGGCTGAGAAGGACCTCCTTGTGGGGAAACTGAGTCAAAGAAGCACATTATCTTGCTCTTGGAAGAAGACTTTGCCATAGAAATCTGATTCTGGCAATAGGCAAATCCCCCTGAAATTTGCCCCACTGAGAAACAAGGTATCAAATTCTCAGCCTACTGTTTTATTTTGTTAAAATAGAATAGGACAAAGGTATCAAAAATATACTTGATATCAGGTACTGAATATGAATAGGTTTATTGTAACGCTGACATTTTTGTTCTTCATTTTCATATTCTCACTAGAGGCCTGATGCACAAAATTCATACAAGAGTAGGCCTTCCTTCCCCCGACTGCCGGCACCGGCTTCCCTCTGGCACCTGGGACCGGGGCTTCCCTCGCAGCCCCGGCTTCCTCCAGAAGGTCGTCTGGAAGGACATCTGGTCTAATTAGCATATTATGCTTTTATTATTATAGATATGTCAGGAGGCCCTGATACCTAATATACTAAAAGCCACATCACTAAGAATGCCAAAAATGGCAACAATTATCTAGTATTTACTATGAAACAAGCACTCCATCAACTTTTCATGTGGTATTTCTTTTTTTTTTTTTTTCATGTGGTATTTCTAATGAGAGACTGATTTCCTTTTACTGCTTTTTTCACATAATAACCGTTAGCGTCTTTTAAAATAAAACTTTGTTTTTCTCTTAGATATTCAAGACTTTTATCTTTCTTGCTATTTTCATCAATTTTTAGGCCATTTATGCACTTTATCTAAGATCATGTATTTTCTATTGCTATCAATGGAATTTTAGTATGACTATCAAATGGCCCCTAACCACTTACTTCAGGGAAAAACTGACTTTCTATTTTGAAGTCAACTTGAGGGAGACCTACCTTCTTGTGTTTAATTACATTAGTTATTTCCTCTTTTTTTTCCCTTTCAAGGGAAGCTTCAAAATGAACTGTGACCAACTCTTTTCTACTCCCTCTAGAACCTTCCTGAGACAGTAACATTTTTCCACTTTGAAAAGAACGGTATCTCCTCGCCTTGTTCCTTAGTCACTGTGAAAGCACGCTTGCCTCATTCTCGCTTTCCAGGATTGTGTATCTGTGGATTGTTTCAGTCCAGGCGTGACATTTCGAGTACACAGTGTTTCGTAACCTTTTCTTTCAGTTCCAGGAGATGTGCTCCGTCCCCAGAAACCAGACCACGAAGTCTCTCAGAGCGAACCTGGTAAATGAACCTTTTTACTTTCCCAATTAGGAAGTATATTTTTCAAAAATATTCTTGAGGTAAATATTTTTTAATGATTGTTGATGTGGAAGACGTTTGAAAAAAATATCAATATAAAAGGTGTACTTTATTTCTTTTTGGGGAGGGGTAATCATACAATCTGTTTGATTTTTTCCCCTGGTTAACACTAGGGAACAATGTGCAATTAGTTTATTTTTCCTAGAAGTGTTTTCATTGAATAGGAAATCATGTTAATATTATAAGGCCTAATTATTAACTGAGCCAACCATTTACACCTTATTTCAAAATGTAAATATAACTACATTCCAACTGTGCATGTACTTTGAAGTAAAACATGTAGGACTTGACTCAAATATGTTCTTAAAGTGGCAGTGAATACAAAATTTAATGTTTTAACTAAACTGAGTTTCCTGAGTGGCATCTATAGATATAATTTTCTCATATTTATCATGGTTCTTAGAGAATTGTTAAATGTTCAAATGGATGCATGTAGAAACACATAAATTATTTTTACTTCACCAGGTAGTAATTCTCATGAATATGTTTCTTTGGTTTCCTTTTGGCCAGTTCTGCAGCCTGTTACCTTTAGAATTGATCCGCCAGAGACAACAATAGGTAATGGCTTTCCCATATTGACCAAGTCTAATTGTTTTCCTTGCCATCATCAGGATTACAGGTCTTTCTCAAATGATCATGTTGAAACATCATCTCTTTTCACAACCATTTCATCATTTCATTCTCATTATCACTCTTTCCAAAATAGAAAAGTAAAAGTTTTGCTCTGAAGACCAGCTTAAGACAGCTCACTACCAAGCCCATCCTCACCTACCTCATTTATCTCCATGTTCCAAATGACTCCACCTCACTCATGCCCATCCAGTTAACATTTTCAGCTGGTTTAGTGGTTCTCAGCTGTAGTGTTACGATATACTAGCAATTTGTGAGCATTACTGGCAAGTAATTATCATTAATATTGGTCAAAATACTAAAATTTGCCAATGGTTTATTTTTAAAAATAAACTTGAGCAGCCCTGCGATGATTGTAGCAAGCACAATGATAATATCCTCACTCGTGTTGTAATCCTATGTGCTGTGTTAGGTGGGAGAACTACAGCTGACAGACTCAGGACCAGGACTGGCCCACACCCCATCTTGCCAGTATGGTCATGGAGTGTGTCAAGCATTGAATGGCATTTATTATCTATCCTAGTGGGAAAACACAGTTGAGAACCATTATTTCAATATTTCAGTCATTTTTCTAAGGTCCTGTGCACACTTTATTTTCTTCTCCATAACTCAAAGTTTTCCTTTTTCTGTTTCAAATAAAGGCATCTCATATGATACTCTGACCTGGCACTGGCTTTTGAATCTAGGGATTGAAAACTTGGTGCTTATCTTTTGCAGCTCCTTTAGAGACCCGAAGCAGCTCTTTCATCCCTATGATTTCACCAAGTTCTAGTCAAGAGGATCTACAAACCACTCTGGGTAAATTTTGTTTTGATATTTCAGTCCAGTGAGGACCTTCCTTCTAGGGCTTGCTCTTAAAGAAACCATATTACATTGTGCTCATGTTGTTTCCAAGCGATAGAGGGTTTCTTTCTACCATTATATAAAACCTCCACTTCACTTGATTCTTTTACATTAATTGTATATTTGTCCTAATACTTATGGTGATTTTTAATATAAAATGAGAATGTTTTAAATCACCTTGACAAATTTTCAAGTATTCTAAAAAACAGAATGTTCCCAAAGTGTATCAGTGCTATGTGTTTTATTGTTTCTTCTGTATTTGAAAGTGCATTTGAAAGAAAAATTGTATCTAGTATTTATTGAGTATTTTATGGCACAATGTGAAGCAATGGGAGTTTCAAAATAAAACTGTTTTAAAGATGGATCCTTCCCCTGGAGAACTTGCCCTGTAATATGAAAACAGGATTTAGGGATAGTGGTGCTTCCTGAGTGCCCCTGAGGATGCTACCTGTATTTTTAAATTTAAGCCACATGACAACGTTGGGAGGTAGGTTCTATTACTTGCCCCATTTTACAGATTAGAAAATTGAGGCATAGAGGGATTTTAAATTGTGGCCAAGTCACACAGCTAACGTCAGAACCAAATTGGAACCCACACATGAGTGTGATAGAGAAATGAGCAAACTACCTGCAGGCATCAGGGGAGGCTTCACAGAAGAGGTGACATTTGCACTGGGTGTTTAAGTTGGAGGGACAGTTGAAGTTAAAAATGCAAGGTCCCTTCAGGTTAAAGACAGATGGGAATGAGCACAGGGCAGACTGGCGGCCAGTCTAATGTGGTGAGCACGCAGGTCACATGGAGAAAAGTTGATGGATGAGTCAGGACAGTTGTTTGGGATGAGCTGGCCATGCTTTCGGGGAGTTCATAGTGGGAAATCCCAGTCTGCCTGACTCTTGGCTGAAAATGAACCAGAAAACAAGTGTTCCCAGCTTGTGATTTTTGGCTCCTTTGCCTGTCCATGCTACATCACACATGACTGTGTTTAAATTAGTGGCCTTATTTTTCTTTCTTCCTTCCCTTTTCAAATAAACTCATTCTTTATGTATGGCTGCTGAGATGAAGTTACGGGTCACATTTTAAAATGAAATTCTTTTGGAGAAAAAAATTAAAAACTGAATGTGCAAATATACCCTGATTACCAAATATTCGTCTATTGTAGTCTAGGCCCACAAGGTCAAGATCACCCATGAAAATTAATCAAAAGTACTTTCAAGAACCCATGCCAGATAGGCTAATTATCCAACTTCCACTCCCTATTTTTTTAAATGTATTTTGGTTTATTGAAGCAAGAATCAGCACCTCTCATTTATCTCAAGTATCTCTCATGAGCGAAATCCAGATTATAAAGCAGAACAGAAACACAAAAAAGAAGATGACAGTATATTATTTGCACAAAGTTTTTCTTTGGATCCAGTATATGCCAAAGTGAACAATGTAATTTTCTGTCTGCATGATGTGGTAATGAGTCCAAGATAATACTGAAGGTGGAACTATTGCCATACTTATTTCATTTTGAGGGGGTGGAGAAGGGGTCAGGAGAAGTGTGTCTATTTGTCAGTAAACATAAACTTTGCTTTTCACATGAGGAAAATAAAAGAAAATGTATTCTCATATGGTACAAATACACATAGTTTCATCTGATCTATTTCCTTTCCAGCTCACCTAAATAACTTGTGGAATCATTTATGGAATAGGAAAAAGACATGAAGGCGGTTAGGAGACACATCCAAGTACCATCACCTCCAGTATCATGAAATAATGATCCTGAGCTAAAAGCTTTTTAAAATCATTAAAATAATGAGTGCAAGAAGAGAGAAAATATAATAAATGGGAGTTACTAAAATCTACTATTAACTTTGAATTATTATGATTACTTCGCATACTGATGCAATTTACCCTTTTATTATCACCTGTTTATAATGTTAATTATTTAAAGCAAGCCCTCTTACTGTGCTTTTCCCCAGCAGAAACAGACCAATCCACCCAAGATCTCTTCACAACTAAGATTCCACGAACAACTGAATTGGCAAAGACAACTCGGGGTAATACTCTTTTCCCACCTCTGTATAGTAACTTCTTTTCTTCATTTTAAATTAGGAAGTACAATTTCTTTACAGAATGTAATTTCTTATCACGGTGAATTACTTGATTTTTTTCATTTCATAGGTGCAGGACATCAGCCAAATATTAATGTCCATATGACTATCAGTGAATGTCGGAAGACACGTTTTTTAGTTAGAGCTTTACTTTTGAATGGATGACTGATAACTAACAATGAAAGCTCTCTTTTGTTATTCCTTGATGGACCTTCATTTGCCTCATTTTCTGTATCTGATAAATAAGAATCTTTATTACCTTTCCTCTCCCCCACCCTCCACCACCCTCCTCTTTCTCTCCTTTTTTTTCTGTGCCCAACTTGCTGGACACATTGATATGTGGCCCAAGGAAGGAAACTAGGAAGAAGATATATCAGTTTTTAAAGATGATTTAATATTTAAATTTCCAGGAAACATTTCTCTGGAATGTCCATTTTTAATTTCTTCTTTTCTATGTTTTGGAAATTAAACTCGGCTACACAAACTTCTATCTCATCTTCGTGCGCTCTGAAGGATGTTTTTGTCCTATCTGGGTTATAACCATTGTGGATTTCCAGTATTTGTGTGTGTTCTTTCTTCCTTTTCCCCCAAATGACCCCTTTTGCCCATCTCTGCTTCTTTCATATGGAAGTTAGCCTAAAAAGCAAAAGCAAATATTTTTTAAGGAGTTAGAAGACAAATTTATTCTTTTGTTTATTATAATTTTGGGGTGAGGGGATTTAATGAAAGAAATTTGAAATAATAAGAGCAAATAACAATAAAAGAAGTCTAATTTTATGGTGCATATTTTATAGTAAGTAGAGCAATATGTACTTATTCAATAAGTGTGACTGAACACTACGGCATCGGACAGTTCTCATAATTTTTCTAAGTGTTTTTTTGCTTATTTGGTTTAATTTTTATGTTTTAAATGTTTATTATTTGCTTTATCACCTTTCTACTTATTCACTTTTTTATTTATAAATCCACACAGAAGCCTAATATACTGACAGCCCTCCCACATCCTCATTAGTAACAGATGTTTAATCATGTTACATCCATTCTCCACCCTCATTTTTGAATGTTTATTTTTTTATGTTTTTGCAAACTTCTTTAATGTCTGGCTTAATGGAAGATAGCTGGATTAATTTAATTAATAATCAAGCACATTAATTTTTTGCAGGAAAATATATATGTACTTACACTAAGCAGAAAAAATAAAGACTATTCAGCGCAGGTCCTGTTACAATGAGAAAGCTTTCAGCTTTTTAGAGCTTTATAGGTTTCAGAATGGAGGATGAAAGATCATAGGACTGTTCTTTACTTTTGCATTTTATTACTTTAATGGGAATATCATTATTGTGTTACTAGTATGAATGTATGTACAATTTTTATCAAATTCCTTCTAAAACGTGGTTTTCTTAGATAGAAGTTTCACAGTTGATTGGAGATATATATCCAGGATTTGATATCATTATATGAATTGTCTTAACATAGTGATACAACATACTATGTTTTAATTATTTTCTTATGTTCTGAGAATCCTTAGCTTAAGTCTCAACTGCATTGCCTGGGAGTTGCACTTTTCTAGACTGTGCCAAGGATCTTGAGAGTGGCTCACCAGATATTCATTTCCATGAGGTGACAAGGGACATCCTAAGAAAGAACCCATCTAAGGATGAGAGTAACATCCACAACCTGGCCCAGCCCAATAGCCCTACCTGGGAATAGAAGGACAACTTTTAGTCAAGGCAAGATTTGTGTCTCTAGGAGCACCTTTTGGCCCAGTCCTCATAAACCTCTGCCTGAGCTCTGTCGAAGGGGCAGCCAATCAACTGTTTTGTTTTGGATGTGCTGTGCTGTTTTATTTGTAACATCAAGCATTAGGAGCACAAGACAGCACACAATACTCGGATATAGATTCTGTGGGGGTGAAATGGTTCCTCTTGAACTTTGCACTCTATGCGTGCCCTCCAATCCCTCAAACATGGGGCCCAAGTGCTCCAAGGAAACTCCAGCACCTCCTCTGTGGCCCCTTTGCTCCATTATCTACTGAGACAGTTCCCTGAAGCACTGAAGCACGCTACAACCCTGAATACTCAGACACTGCCTTTCTCATTGCCACCCACGGGAGAAATCCACTTGGCAGGCGCATTTGGGAAGCATTTTCATTATTTTACTGCTTGCAGCCCCTCATACTTACCCACCCAGGGAAAGTTGAATATACTCCTTCCCCTCTCCCTGTATCATTCACAGTGTTTCTCCAATAATCCCTGTTTGTTTCATTTTAAAGTTCATTTTACATAGATTTTTATAGAACTATTCAGATATGAAGCCATCTTTTAAAGTTATTTTTATTATTGGTCGCCAAAAACTACATGGAGATGATGTTTACATAGTTACATTGTCACAAAGCTTCTTTGTCTTTTTTTTTTTTAACTTTAAAACTGAAACCCTAGAGTAGATTTCTCAAGGCCATGAGATGTGTGAGTAACTCACAACCGAAACTTAAACTTATATTTTGGCTTTTTTTATAAAAGTTCTTTCTAGATTTAAGTAGAGACTGTGGAACAATAAAAAATCCTGTGACTTCGAAATAATAAATATAGTGCTGATTATCTTTGTGTTCTGCTCTAAGTCCCTTCTAACTAAAGTTTCTAAAATTTAAATTTCTTCTAAAATGAGACTAATAAGAACCATGATCATTGTAGTTCTTTAAGAGAAAGCAGTCTAACACAGAAGAAATTAATATGAAAACCTGAAATACTATTATGTTGAATTGACAGATAATCCTATCATTCTCAAAGAAAATTAAAGAAAAACATGGGCTAATCATCATCACACATTTTAGGGTGTGTAAGAATTCATATTTTATAGCATCGGTTCCTCTGTTCACTCTAGTTATTACACTTTGAAGGGGCCACACTGAATCCACAGAGAATATCAGTGTGTGTCTGCTGGTTTTGGCTTGAAATATATACTCCTTCCCCTCATTGGTCTTCACATTGGAAGCTTATAAATGAGCTACATTATAATCTGTCTTGCAGGTGTTTTTTAACTTGTTAGGCAAAGCATTGCTGATTTATGGTTACATAAATACCCCTCAAGATCTGAACAAAAGCAATGTAATTTACTTACAAGTTTGAAAAAAAGAATTTATTTTCTCCAGTCTTAGCTAAAGCATTACCAAGAAAGTTAAGTTAGGAGGCAGTGTGCTGTGTCAAGGGGGCAGAGGAGGGAAGGGAAGAACGGACAAATTCCTGGATGAATGCATATTTTAAAACCTTAGGAAGCAACCAACCTGAGTTTCTTGTGAATTTGCCTGTTTACAGTGCTTGCTCCGTTTTTAATTTCTTCAACAAGTCTTCAGTTGGAATCCTCACTGTGCCAGGCCCTGGATTACAGGAACAGGAAGTGATAAATTGATGTGTTGGTCCCAGAGGTCGTCTGAGTTGTTGCTCCTTGCTCTCCCTCGATAGATGAGCGGGACCCCTGAGGTTTTCTCTCATCCTAACACTAATAGATGGCACTAAGTGAACATTGATTCATTTCAGGGGTCATGAGCCAAGACATTTTGATAGAGATCACATGTTTTTACTCTTTTCTTCTTACCTACCTCAAAATATTTTATGTTTTGCCTTTAAGATTACTTGTCTTTTTTGGCAAAACAACGTTTCACAGTGACTACCTAATTGAGTGATGTGGATGGATGGATAGATGGACACATGGATGATGGATGGATGAATGCTTGGCTGCCTTTTATGTTTGCCATGTTAAGCAACCATCTGGTAAAGTAAATGTTCTTGAAAAAGTGGACTAATGATGACATCCGTAACACACATTAGAAATTACCTACCTCATTCTGACAATGTGCATTTTAATATCCAATCATGAGTATTTTCACTTATTTTATTTTCCTTTAGCTTCAGTGCTGTAATGCATAATTGGCGGTTGCAGGGTGTTCTTTCTACTTCCATGCACAATGTACAAATTGTTGGTCCCTAGGGTGCCAAATCTCGATTTAGTGGGCTTTGGAGTGCAGGTATTAAACATGAAGCATTTGCTCTGTTTCAGCACCACATAGATTGTACACCACTCCTGGGAGGCCCAAAATACCAGAAAAACCACCCCTCAGACCTGGTAAGTTGTTTCCCTTTCTGATGACCCAAACAGTCAGCACATCTGAGAAGATATAAACTGTATCGGAACAGCTAGATGCACTAAGAAGAGCTATATGCTTAAATTGAAATAAAGGACATACAGAAATTCTGATCCTTGCAGATAAGTGGAGAGGTAATGATGGATCCATGGAACTGACAAGACCTGAGTGAGGTTTTTAAGGAGGATCAGCTTCAGAGACCACTATAAAACTTTATCAATATAAAGTTATTTTTGAAATAGTATTTGTGCATAAATCACACATGCGTGCGCGCGCGCACACATGCACACACACACACACACACACACACTTTTTCAATTTTCCATGACAATTATAGGTAGTATTAACATTCTGTGTGACATATTACTTGCTTTCAAATATTATTAATCTTTTTTATTTTATTTTATTGTTTAAAGTATTACAAATAGTAGTACATATGTCTCCTTTTTTCCCCCATTGACCTCCTCCCACCCTCCCCTACCCCCCAGCACTTGCCCTCACCCCCCCTCCAGTGTCTTGTGTCTATTGGTTGTACTTATATGCATGCATACAAGTCAAATAGTATTTATCTTTTAAGAAAAGATAATCTCTTCAGTATAAAAGGCTCTTGTTCTGGGAGAATATTTTTACTTTATTCCTTCTGATGATAAAAAAAAGCACCTCATTTTTCAGGTTTTAAACAGTAAAAATAAAGTGGTAATTAAACATTAGAAAATACTTTAAATTTACTAAATTCTCAGAGGTTCTAGGATCTCCCTTACTGGAGCTTATTAGGGAAGAGTTAACTGGGGGGGTTGATTTGAGCCAAGTAAATAACTTCTATGCTAAAGTACAAGTTAGACCAAAGACTGGTGTTTTCTACCCTTTTTCTACTGTGTTTCTAAAAGTCTTCTTGAATTTATAAATTATGAAACTGGCTTATAAATTAATATTCTTGGTTAACATCTCTCCAGGCACATGGAAGAAAGAACAAATAATTTTTTTTATTCTTTGGTTTATGGAAAGCCAATAAGTTTTAGAGTAATCCTCCAAATCCTAAATGCATTAGGCATAGAAGTATTTTATAAACAAATATATCTCCATGTAACTTTTATAAACAAATATATCTCCATGTAACTTTTATATCATGATGGCTGTTGAGAAATGGTTATACTAAGTGTTTCTACAAAATAATGAATAGTAGCAATACAGGCAGACCTCAGGTTAGGTTGGATTCAACGTACATCATTTTGTGGTTACGTCGCCATCTCCCATTTATTTATTTAAAAAAAAGGTTCCATCATTTCGACATATGTACATATGTGCTTTATGTTTTTTATTATTTATTTACCACAAGTAAAGGTCAGGGATTGTTATCTTTCTTTAAAATTTTTTTTTACTGTTTCACTTCATTACTGCTGCGTATGTGCTCCATGTGAGTGACGTAGGTGCTTATGTAGGTGGGTTCTAACTTATGGGGAAAATCGCGCCATAGGAATGGATCTCCATCAGACGTAACCCAAAGACTTACTGTAATGGCTAACATTGACTGAGTGTTTGCCTTACGCCCCATTAGGTAGAGTTGAGGAAGCTAAGACATAAAAAGAGCATGGGAGTAGATTCAGAGTCAAGCAATCAGGGTCCAGTGGTTACTCTCTTAACCATGGTATATTTAGTTCTTTTCTTTAAAGAGCCTTCTAAGAGAAGGATAAGGCAGGTGACCTCTTAAAGTTTTGATAGTGCTATGGCTGTCAACAGAGCAGGAAAGAAATTGTAATGGTTTTATTACAGTTTTGTGTTCAATGATGGGCTTGTACCAGGATTATCAAGGAACATCTGTACCTAGAGACTCATGCAAAAGGACCATGAACTTATGAGTTATGAATTAAGGCCTTGACAAGTAAATACACTTCCAGTTTTGTTTTTTCATTAGCATAGGTCAGTGATGGCGAACCTTTTGAGCTCGGCGTGTCAGCATTTTGAAAAACCCTAACTTAACTCTGGTGCTGTGTCACATATAGAAATTTTTTGATATTTGCAACCATAGTAAAACAAAGACTTATATTTTTGATATTTATTTTATATATTTAAATGCCATTTAACAAAGAAAAATCAACCAAAAAAATGAGTTCATGTGTCACCTCTGACACGCGTGTCATAGGTTCGCCATCACTGGATAGGTAGTCCTGATGGTTCTTCAGTTCATTTTGGAACGCATCTAGTGCTTATAAATGAAGAAAGATATTTCCCATTTAGAAATATAAATTTCTTTGCCAGTTACTTTTTTTCAAGCCCAGTGATCACATTAGAGTACAAACCCAGGTTTCTATTTCCAAATACAAGCCTATGATTTTTATACCAGAATTGTGGTTTCTATATTCTAAACAATAATTTTTGGTAAGCCATCTTTTTTTATTGCTTGGTTAAATGATTTACAATTCTCTGGGAAGTTTTGTTTTCCTTGGCTACAAATTATTATAAGAAAATGTCTGAACTATTTCTTTCCCACTTTATTATAGTTCTGAATAAGACAACTACAAGACCTACTAGACCCAAACCCAATGGGATGCCCAAAGGGACTGAAATGGGAACAGGTAATGATCACAAATTTATTTCCTTTTGATGCTGCCAAAACTATAAGTGTTTTCATTCAATTTTTATAGTTTTGTTGAATTCTCACTTCAATTTCTTTTTTACTAGTTTTGGAAGTTCCTAGCTTAAGGAATTGAAAATTGTAATGCATTCCAAAATCAAAACATCCTATGTCTCTAAAAACATTAAAGGAGAATTTATTATTTTTTCTAAACACAGGTCACTAAATTAGCTACCATACATGGGCTTGATTCTTCAAAAGATGCTGATTAAATATGAATTATTGAATTAAAATATCAAAATAGCTGTTTCCTTCATTTCAAAACATGTCCTATACACAGGCTTGGTCTTTGAGACTGAAATCACTTGGTTTTCAACTTTATAATTTCACAAATACCATTATAAATTTTAAAAGACCTAAATCTGTTAGAAATCTTGACTATAACATTTAAATAAGAAGGGGAATTGGCAGTTGATCACCCTTATTATAGTAATACTAGAGGCCCGGTGCACAAAAATTTGTGCACTCGGGAGGGAAGGGGGGGTCCATTTCGGCTGGACCTGTG